TATATATATATATATATATATATATATATATATGGGGTTGACTCAGCAGGCAAGGTAGCATTCATTACAACCATCAGGTGACGGGCTGGCGGCGTACGATCTTGAATGATGGCTCAGTTGAATCCTTTTCCAAAACAGCGTTGTAATCTATCCAGTTCACTCAGCTTATTCAACCATAGCATGGTATGCATCATCATCAGGAAAAAGGGGATCAGAGCCGGAGTGGAAAGTTAGATGTACTCACAGTAAATGAGAATATCTGTGAATCGGTTTAGTTTTATGTGACTGCCTTCATGTGAGCACTTACAGCTTAACCATCAATCGTTCCGAGCATGAAATCACGCTTCTATTATAGTAATCTATTTGAGAAACCAAATACCCACTTTAGTTTAAGTTGTGATCGTTAGAATGTCCGGGAACGCACAAATTTGTGCTAATAATCACCGTTTTATCAGATTTTGAGGCACGTGCCCTCTGAGTACCCTGAAGACGGACTTCTGTGATATTGGCCCACTTGTCTATATTTCTTCATATTCATTATAACGCATGCCACAGGAACCTAGCACAGACCTTTTTTAACCGTAATGCTACTACGCATTCCTTTTTCCGATCCACATATTCTGAGCTGCAGCACGATTTTCTTGCGTCTGCTATCCTATTTTGAGGTTAAGGTACCTTGCCTCCTAACTGTATCAACTTGCCGATAATACCCACTTCAAAACCATTAGTGGGATGGTTGACAGTTCACACACTAATATACTTATGATGACACAACCACATAATGGCAAGTTCTTCTGTAGTCAGTCTATTCTCTCTAAACCGGGACAATGGGAACCTTGCGAAACAGGCATATGTTACCGGTATTATCGGAACTTAATGTTTACCGCACTCCACTTGGACTAGCTGTAAGCTCATTTAGTTATAACCCAGTTAATTCTCAGCGCTAGTAGTCCTCAACTGGCTGGGCGACTTACGTGGTTCTGTTTCCCCAACGCCAACTTTGTCAACAAAGTAAAGTGTTGCCTCAAGTAGAATGCTGCTCTATCTTGAATATCATTCAAGCTGGAAAATGAACCATCCTTTGTGCAGAAAATCTGGTTAAGAACGCCACAAACTCTAACAGCAGCTGGATTTAGAAATACGTGATCATCTCTGTAACTAATTGATTGATCAGCGTGGTGTTGTTCACTAGCACAGTGGTAAATTAAACCACAAATCCCACCATACATTTTGTTTCACAGATAGTTTTCCTTTTTAATTCTGCACCACCCTATTAAATCTGATGTCAAAGGTCAACAGATTATGCGGCCTCAAGCATTCTAGCTGGATCCGACTGAGCACATCGGCAAGACCTTGATAGAAGTATTTACAATCGCATCGTTTCATCAAGATGTTGTGGTAAAGGACTGTCTGCCTTTAGTGAGAGATTTCCCAACACGTCATATTAATTGCGTAGAACAAGAGATACTACATCCTTGTCAAAAAAACACTGCCACGCATAAAAAAGTGGGTTGCATTTTTCTACTGGAATATGAACATGGATCTGAAGGTTTACACTGTTTTACTACTGCGCTGACAATCTTATTTTATCGTGTCACGATAGACGTTCTTTCAGATCATGGTCTCCCAAGTATTATAATACACGTCCATTACGTGCTCCAAATAGCTGTTCCAGCTCAGATTTCTGCGCCCATTTTCGTCATGCCACCTAGTTACATTTTGTTGAATAGAGCCACGCCGCATCTAGTATTGCCGTGTTCATGGACAGAACAATAGAATTCAACTTCCCAGGTTTTATTGCTCTTGTTTTAAAACTGCATATTGTCTTGCTCGAGAAGACAACATTAGACCTTCAGTTAGGCACCATTAATTATTAACCGACCAAACCTATATTCACGTTCACTTGAGCGCATGCAGACTAATTCCAGCATATATCCAAAAGGAATGTCCAATATGCATTATTCGGTGGACAAAACATTTTGCCCACAATTATTCTGACTTTTTAGAGGTAGTTTATTGACCCTGGTATCTGCTCCACTTAATGAATTATCAGTTTGCGTGGCTTTACTGTGGGGATCAAGATTCCTTATTGATACGCAGATATTTTTGTGGTTGACGTTAGTTGTGACCGCATGAACAAACCAAATATAGCTTAACGCAATAGCTTATTAGGATGCTGGGGGTACCATTCAAAATTTTGGTTCCAAAGATGCCAAGCGTTTATCTGAAGTAACTACAATGATGAATCAATTGATCGAAGAGTATATTTGCTACTCAAGAATAACGTACAAGGTAGGATATTCTGAGATCCTCCTGCGACGCATTAATCAACAAAACAAGTCAACATTTCGAATTTCATTTGTTCTCAATGTCCTTAACGATTTCTATCTCCCTCTTTTCGTTTGCATCCAGCATTTTGATTCTCTGGATTTAATGGTTTTAGGGTTTGAGCAACTTCAGAGCGTTGAAAATTCACACGCAGTCTTCCATCTTTAGAGCCACATTCTTGTAGGCATGAAAAGATATCAAAAATAAATTTCATCAAAATCCATACACTTGACAATGAAGTGAGTCATTTCTCGTGCTCGTCTGGATTAGTCCAATACTACTATACTGGTGCACCCAGGTATACATTGTGCCACTAGTTTGGAGTAGAGCGAATACCGTGTCAGCATTTTACTTCACAGCATTCCCAAATAGCCAGTGGCTTCCAGTTTTCTATACTAATGTCCTTACACGTCTGAGCTATTTGGAATTAGGCATGTCAAGCGACAAAGGGTAGTGCCCATAAGATTGCTGTAAATCTACTTTCGAACAACCGGCTTGGATATTTTTTAGGCTTATCCGGTATCTCGAATACCGCACTAATTGAAATTTGAGATGGCCTTTATGCAGCTCATTCAGTTGCAGATGAATATCACCAATGAATGATTCGGCTAGATTCACTTCATCCTCCAGTTTAAACGAGATTAGTTTTCATATGAGTGTATTTCGAGAGCAGTGGTGCTGTGGTGCGACCAGCACTCACTCGCTTCGTCTCTCATTTTCTTCCAGAAATTTTCAAGAACGGGCTGAGGGCGTCCTCAATGAGTGTTACCGAGAGGACGAGCACCGAACCCAGCTGATCATCAATCACGAATTGATGTACTACGGACGGAGCTCTGTGATCAAACTTGCAGCTGAAGGTCAAAGTATCAAGTTCATGGCCCACCCCTGTTGTCAAGACTTCCTCACCAACACATGGAATGGCAACTTGTCTACAAAGAACAGTGTGATAAGGGTAAGCCTTGATTCTTTTACACGATACCAGGAAATATCATAACGATAATATTTGTATGTATCTGCTTAATGTCGTCAAATTTGACGAACTTTTATTGTGCAATTGCTTGCCAGAGATACCGCATACTGAATAAAATACTTCAAATTGTCGACTGTTAAAGCTATCAATATATTGCCTATATCTAGGAAGACACAACAATAAATATATCCATCAAAATATGTTGAGCCAATCCACCGCACCCACCTATAGATTGGAGCTTGTCAATTGCACAACTTAGTTTTTTAGCTAGATTTTTGCACGGCTTCTTATTTAAGCGAATAATTAACAATACCTGTGGCCGAATTATTGAGCTTGTCACCAGCATGAGGAACAGGATTGTGAACCCATTAGTTGAGTGAGTGAGCAATACAAAAAAGATGACGTTTTTGTGCCTATCTGATTTAAGACGATTTTCTAGTTTTTATTGAGATTTCCTATAACCGAAATTGGATAAACCGCAGGATCTTCATTGAGTTGCTAGCTCACAAATTAACATGAACTCTCCCAGCAGTCACGATAAAGGAGTTCTTTATCTAAAGCTACAAAATTTGCACGATATTTTTCTTCATGAAATTCTTTCGAATTGTTCGTCTGTCGATATTGTAAGAACGGTTGTGCAGCTCAGTGGACCAGCTTTGAAATTCAAGAGATCCTGTGAACATTTCGGCGCTCAGTTTCGTAACCCTATGATGAAGGAACGCCAAGTTTGGTTGGTGATTAGGCTTTACGGTACATTTCCACAAACAGTAAATTATCCGCAGTGATGTTGCGTTGAATCTTGACTGGCTGGCTATTTACCTTTGTTTTACTGACATTTATTTCCGGTTCACAAAACATCTGTGAATGGAAGTTTTGATGGGGAGTTTTATCCACATCTAAGAAAAAAACTTTTTGGTACATATCAACCACACCGTTTGGTGAAACTTTGGCAATTTCCTATCAAGCAGCAATTACGTTGGGCGCAAAATATGAAATACAAAAACTTCGACTATAATCAAATCACCCTTTTGTGTCTGAATCCCGCACACTGTTTTATCCACGTCCTCTCATTCACGTTGACATAGAGTTTTCTCTGATTTCTGAGCGCTGGCTACACTTGTTTATGATTTTTTTTCTATTTCAGTATTTTCTAGGCATCATCTGTGGCCTAACTATTCCATTTTTGATTCCAAAAATTATTTTGGCCAAACCAAAGACTAATCCAGTCACGGAGGAAGAGGTAAGCTGAAATCACTCCTGAATAAATTTGACTGAACCAGCCAATTTGTTCAAAGACTAATAACTGTTTATGTCTCCTAGGAAACTAGCACAACAGTGGAATCTGCGAATGTAAACCAAGAGGATGCAGGGTCATTGGTGAAGGAAAACGCAATGGTCAGAAGGAAGAGGTGAGCTGATTTCACAATACCACGTCAGAGATTACCTTTTCTACGTTTGAGTACTTTCCATCGTGACCAATTTACTTTCCTAACAAGTAAACAAGTGCGTTTAACAGTGAACGAATTTAAGTGGTCTAGACAAGAAAACGAATAATACGCACACTTGGATATTCCGACAAAATACCTGAATACTAATATACAGATATGGGATAGGAAAATAAAAATGATAATTTCACCAAGTTTTAGAACATCACCTGCGAGAAATTATAGGCCACCCTTGATTATAAGACGTTGATGGAGTGGCAAACAAATTGATAAATGTGTAAGAAATAGTGTGCAACTCTTATTGCACCCATTCTTTAGGCCCTGATTTGGCTAGTTCATTCAGCAATAAATTATTCACTGATTCGAGGCCATTTTACGCAGTCGGATTCGTTCAGATTTCCACCCGGTTAGGTGATAAACGGTCAGTGTTACGGAAATGTTTAGATTTTCAGAGGATACATAATCAACGGTGTCGGGAATCTGTCATTTCCTCAATGAAGCAGACAGTAAATAATGAATATGGCCTGGCTTGTGACCTCATCGTTGATAGGGACCGAATTACAATCTCTGTTTTTCGTCTAAATGGTCAGGTGGTGTGTTTGGGGAGTCGTAGGATATTACGATGACGCATGATCCTGAGTTGCTAGTTAAGGTTACATAGTTGTCGTATTTTCCGCATATTCAATGGTGCACTTTGGCGCGTGCAAACAAGGGCATCAAATTAGCGATAGACGCACTCTAACTGTCCGTGGTTCAGTTATCTCAACACCTCGCTCGCTAACAAAACAATAACATACAGTTGTTCATCATACACCCAAAAATCATTGAATAATAATGATTTTTGAAAACGTCCTAGTAGACTCATGGACAGTTAAGGCAATCAAAGTAACTCGATTAAATTGTTGAGTGTTCTTGCTACATAGGAAACATTTGACTAAATAATCAAACCTAAGTGCTACCCGTGTGAAAGAGCATTGGGGTAAGCTAAGGAGAATATCACTGGTATTAGAGGGAAAATTCCAACATATTTCAACTACAAGGACACAGCCAGCACAAATCATATTGTGTCTTCAGCATAGAGAATACATGTCTCTGAGCAGTGCAGGGACGGTTGGAAAAAATAGAGCGAGTGATCCAAGAACCTAGAGAAAACGCTCTCGCAGGAGATACCGTTGACCAGAAGGTACACAAGAAAATACTTGTCTTTGAAGGATTTGACCGGGAGACCTATCCTTATCCAGCAGAGAATGTTTGATAAGTGTGATCCTATGGCTCATTTTTTGCGTTATGTTTACCGCGGTCGAATGATTCAAACGCTGTTTAGATGTATTCCTACTTTCGTATTTGTCCAGTACCCACTCAGGTGTTTTTTAACAACGGCAATAAATTCAATGTCATTGAAGAAATTTTCTTCAGAGGAGATTATCGTTTACGGCTAGCCCACACAACTAGTCCAATCACCTTTTTTCATATGCCGCCATAGCACGTTCAAAATACACACACTTCAAACGGACGAAGACCCGGCTGAATAAGCATTTCGTATTTTAGTGGACCAGGACCCCTCTGTTATTCACAAGTCACATCGTATACCAAGAGAAAGCTCACTTAGGGGGCTGTAAAATGCATCCATTTGGATTCATTTAGTTACGTGCTTTTGTAATTGCTGGAGTTTAGGGATCTATTTCCTCCATCGATTAGAGAAATCCAATCTTATATTAGTGAGAGTGGCCTGTTCTGTTTTTATTTATTTACCCTATGTGACCATATAAGCCGCATGACAATGTCAAATATTTTCAAAAATATTTTCTCCAGAATTTTCTCAAAAAACCGTCATTAATAGTTGTATAAGTTGTTATCGTGATCTCCTCAATAATTCAAGCTAAGATGAGATTCATAAGGATGGTATTGAATCGTTGGGGCGTCTCAGATTCCAGCAAAAACAATTATTGTCGTTGCTAAAATTCGAGTACAATGTGATCGCATGACGGCCACGACCGATAAGATTTAGTACAGTATAACTGACGGTTTTGAACCAAAGTTAGGAATCTCTGCCACCTCCATACACATCTCCCAAACGTAGCTAGGTAGTTACTCAGATCAAGATTGAAGAGATTGAATAACCAAGCTCCATTTACTCCGCAGGAGCATGTAGACGAAATTAACTAAGTTGCATAAATTTTGGTAACATTATGGGGTACCCGATATGACACTGATCAGCTGGTCTGTCAGACCCAGTGTTTGGTCGTATACACATGGAATCATTGCTGTATAGGTAGGATGCTTACAAAAAGCTTACCGACTGCTTTGGTGTGGTCACTGTGTTGTCACGACGATCAGACAGGCGGTTTGTCACAAAAGTGCCTCATATCTGATTTGGAAACTAAAAACCTCTGTTTAACACAATTACAAAGGAATAGCTGAAATTGTGAGGCATTATATGCTAATTCTTTATATCCTTGTAACAGTGCGCATCATTTTTAAGTTGAATGAATGCATAGACACATTAACTAATTCGTTATATGACACTTCACGCCTATGATCGGTTATGATATCATCGGTCTGTCGACTGATTACTTCACGGTATAAATTGCCGCACGCTTCTTCATACCAAACGAACCTGGACAGCTCAGCTTATTCTAGAATAGCGAATACCTTGGTCATGTTCATTGGGAGAACTCACAAAATAAAACGTATTATGTGACTAGCGGTGAAATATATTGCTGTGAACAGAACTTCATCAACTGCACTTGGAAGGCTGTCACATTTGTCATACAGTTTCTATCAAGCTGGATGCAACTCAGTCACCAAACAGATGACTGCACTTTTCTAATGTTCACATAAGCATCCAGTATCCGCATGCTAGTAATCAACGATAACTTACTCATTGACATCTATTGCGTAGACCTTATTTTCGCATTGCTTGCGACCGTAGAGCATGAGATATTAATTTCTTTTCCCTCTTTTTTCTCCTAAATAAGGTCGCCAACATCTGGCTTTATGTGCATGGAAGCAATGATTCCGAGAATTAGGTCAAAAGACCAGAACGGAATGTGCACTAGATAGATACGGAGTGAACAACTCGAAGTACAATTGACTGTAAGAACTATGCACGAAACATATACGAGAGATGCTGTGGGGTGTATTTGGGCCAGTGAAAATAGTTAAATCCACATACCAACCTCTTCTAGCCGGAGCACTCAAGTTTACACAACTTTCAGGTTTTACCTCTTTATGGGTAAAATTAAACTCGGTAAGTCTGTTTTCACCAACCAGATCAACAGTATCAACCCGTGATAAAGATCCAGAACATCAACCGGTGCTTTTATCACAGTCACGTACCATGGCTTTCTCGTACCCCGTGATGTGAAGTAAACTTATCGGTTTATTGGTTGGGCGTTATGCAGCTTTACGGTTTCCTAGCAGTTGATTGGTGTGACAGAAATTAAAACTGCCCTTAAAAGAATTCATAATCACATTTTTACTCCAACAGATATCGTTTTAACTAGCTACATGAAACCAGTAGGAATGTTATTCCACCCTGAAATACTATTTGGGTTGTGCTAAACACCATCTCCTGATAATATGTAAATTGACGCGAAATTTCTGTAAATCTATGACCGTACTAATTGTTGATCGCATTTAGTTCCACCAAAGTTTGCCTGTTTGGTTGAATGATCTTTCAATCATTTGGTTTGACTGTGGGAAAAAAGCTTATCGCTTCTTTTTTCTTAGCTTTCTAAGCCCAAGGAAATATATGAAAACCGCGTTTCTAGCTATTATATTCAGATAAAGACATCGGTTCCACTTAAGCTGTCAATATTCAACCTGAAGTACCAATCCAGCTCATAAATTCTGGTTGGTGGGTTTATCTAGCTACGGGCTAATCAACAATGACCTATATTTTAAACCACGCTACTTAGAGTACAGTTGCCTCAAGAAAGTTTCAGGAATTTTGTCAAACATGAAATAGTCAATTTGTTTGGATTCCCTAGAGATTCAGATATAGTAAGTCGCTGTCACAGAACAGACTTTAAGGCGGTTTTACTCTCGCCCATCCATGCTTAACTCAGGTAAGGCACTTCGGGAATGGAAAACTCCACGTAACGCCCGCAGTACACCTTAAGTCCAAAACTCCTGCAACCTAAGCGAACCATGAGATCCGGCTTAAAGAAGTTACAGATCGAGTGAAGGCGCCTGTCATCCCGGATCATACAGATTTATGGGGTTACGTGTGTGGATAGGTTTAGGAGCAGTTAAGTAGAACGAATGTGGCGAAAACTATTGGTGTAGGTGGGGATGTTCATGCATCGAAATTTGTTGAAACCCGGTCTCCTCAAGGCCTTGAGTTTTATATAACTGCTGTTTGGGACGGTGGAATTTGTGATGAAGCAAAACGATACTCATACGAAGAAAAAATTCATTCAGTTTAGATAGTTTTATCAGTTTTTTCAACTGTCAAACTAAAGACATGTAAGGGCTTTTACACCTTTGTTGACAAGCCAACTCGTTATCAACATAATTCATCCACCTTTGTTGTCAGTTAAGAGATCTTTCATGAAGAAATCAAACCTTGAACGACCAAAAGCACATGCGCGATGGCATTCATGGAATCACTCGGACTTAAATATTTCCATTACCCTTGATACATCAGTTGTTGCAACTCACTTTGGATTCGTTTGCACCATGAGTAATCGCAGTGAAGTTTACTCGTAAAAATTACTTTGGGCAAGAACCGTTTGCGCTTGTTCATTCCTTGTCAACAAAGTTATCATTTAACTGGATTTATTTGGATGTCGTGAGAGGGTGGCCAGTTCATCGACCAAGTCACGTGAGGCCGTGGTTGCTACTGTCGTGAAGAGTGGTCATGATCTTGAACCTGGTGTTCTGAAGGGTACCTATCAAAGTGTCTTTGAGTTGTTCGCGGAGCTACGCCATTTGTTAGCATAAGTTTGACCGCCAGATCGTTGAGTGCACTTTAGTCAACAATACTCAGGAGTTTACACTGCTTGCATAGTTTGACCTTTGATCACTCCGAAGACGAAAACGGAGAATGTGTGATGTTGGTTTACTTTGCGATTATGGGTTACAGGACTTTTTTCTCAGCCAGAGTGCTGCTAACCGATTTTCCTAACTTTTGGTATGATTGTTTTTCTTCGTGAATCCTGACCATGAAACTTTTATACTGGGCTACAAACGGCTGACATATCCGTGACCTTTCAGATTTTGGTGCAGAAATTTTAAATTTTGATTCTCGGTTAGGATGAAATTTTACCTCAGCCATAAAGTGACATCAATGAGCGAGCCAAGGTTGTATGAAGACTAAGACAACATCTCGAGAGTAACAACACTTAGTCCATTAACTTATGGCGGGATGTCCCGTCTGGTGAACCCTTCGGTACTTCTTGAAAAACCTGACACAAAGGTAACTAGACAAAAGGTTGGATGGAGTGAATTATTCCACCAAACTTATCCACACTAGATTTTCTCACTAACCCACTTAGGTAAAAAATGTATTGTAAAATTGTATCTTCTACTGAACACGATACTTCAAAAAATTACTTCATCTCGATTTTCGTCCCGTCCGTGGTTTGATTTTGCCTTCAATTATATTATTCTGGTATCAAGGTGAAACAGCTTAGAATAAATAAATTTGATCTATCGGATGGTAGATGTTGCCTTTTCGGAACAATCAAGCGTTTACTTACGCCTGGTCACTTCTGGCTAATCTGATGGGAATTTAAAGGCATTTAGTCTTTTTGTTCAGCATGAAAACAGCATATTAAGACGTTACACTACCACCTACAATAAACTAAAGGTTGTTCCATTCAGTTATGTCTTCCACAATCAAGCTAAAACTTTGCCAAGCTAAATCAGTAATTGTTTTTTGTCTTCAATATTATTTTGTAGCATTCGGAAGAGTTTTCGTCACAATACAAAGGAATTTATCGCACAAATCCGTGATTTCTACATGGCACCTGTGATCCGTTTTGTCTACAATACGGTAAGTTTCCAGCCTGTGACTTGGTTTCTGTAGACTTGCTCCCCTTAATTTGTGTATATCATCCATTAAATTGTCTATTTACCCAGGATGAGAGCTTGCTTAGCCTTTAGTTCCCTACCAAGAGAAGGGATGTTAGGACAAAAATACCTAGCTGAAAATGATGTGTTCATCGCTTATGATGTGAATTATAAGTTAGCTATTTTTCTGGGAGGAAGTGTCAGTTCTCATTTCTGACGTCAAGTATGTAGGTTTCTTGTCAAAAGCGTCGTGAGTTGGAATGTCACACTGTCATTTTTTAAGTGGCGTCATTCACTATTGTAGCGTATCCCAAGCCGGTCGAATTGTCAACAGTTTTAGAGCTGTTTCGGTTTTGTTCAAAGCTGACCAAAATTTGCATTTCACATGAAGCACATACACTTCTGGTAGTGTTACCCAAAGTCATTTCCGTTGTCTATCGTCCGTGGTTTGACACCGAATTCCGGTGCATATTTTTTATTGACAAACTTGACCAGTCAAAATGACCAGTAGAAATTCTTTGTACAGAATGCCACTGAGCCAAAATCCATTCTGTGAATTTCCCTTATTTAAGATGATCTTTATTACTGAAATATGCTCCACAAAACCTAATAAGTTTGTCCTCGGTGTTGATCTCCTAGAGTACGGTTTTTCCACTTGAGAATACCCATAATTATTCTCCATGTCTCCTGGTACAAACCAGCTGGATTTTTTATGTAACTTTAGTCGCCTGGCGTAAAGGAAAACACAACATACAACTCCAAGCAGGTATAAAAATCTTTCTTGTCCTATAATTTTTCTAAGGGAGCGGAAAAATTTCCCTATAGACTTGCAATATTTTGCATATAGCTGTAATCTCCTCAAATGGTGTGAACGAAGGGACATGAACAGACTTTACTGATCCATGATGAACGGAAGAGGCTGTTTATACAATTAGAAACAGATCACACAACTCCTAAAACTTTATGGATCGTTGCGATCAAACGCCTGGTAACTTTGAGCTGTCTTCAACAGAAAGTAATTGATGATGAACGGTACACCATAATCCGACAAAACTGTAACGTAAACCGGCGTCTTCTCCCTTTGGAAAGCAAAGATCATTTTACCTGGATCCGAAAAAATTTTGCGCTTAGCTGTTTTAAAATTGAGTGAAAATTGCATTTAGTTGTAAGCTCTTTTGAACGATATTCTGTTTTCGTAATACCCAGCTACTGTTTCGTAACATGCTCCCATCTTATTTTGGCTCTCAAAACCTGGTACGAACAAGTCTTTTCCTGAAACGCCTAGGATGGTGGCAGAAGTTAATCCAACAGTGAAGACAACGTCTAGGTTTCTCGCGATATTGATTCGTCCATAGACAACCTGGCTGGACTATCTCAGTCAGTTCTTTTGTTACATTAACAATAACCGAAATACTGTTCCGAATGTTACGTAGACCATTTGCATTACCCTAGTTATGCAGGTGGAGATATTTTTGGTGATGTGTCTGCAAAAACAACCTGGAATCGCCCTTCTTTGCCGTGATTACAAACAACATTGGTAAGGCAACTTAAGGCTAATATTCTAGAATGCACTCTGCTGTATGGCTTCAGTCAGTTAGGAGAAATATCCCAAAATTTCAAAGCCAACTTTAATGCACTTTGGTTTTTATAGCTTTGTGCACCGAAGTTTCACAAATGTCAAACCTGACATTCATACACTCCACTGGTTGTTTTTGACTTGATAAGCAAAAGCCATTTCGGGTAATCGTCTGCCCTTCATCAAAAAGTTCCGTTGACTGGTGTACATAAAGACTCGTGGATCAGTAAGTGGAATGAACACCGCCCTGAGATTATGTTCCTGACAGATGCCACGTCAATATATCAATCTGTAGAGACTCTTGGACTGTGTGAGCAGTCGAGGACTAATAAACCTAGGGACGTATTACATTACGAAAAAGGTGCAATATGTGAAAACATGTGTCTTTACAGGTTGCCTTTAATTAAGAAGTTACGCAGCAAAAGATCATGGCTAAAAGGGGACGCTGTTTCTGCTGCCTGAGTCCGTTTGAAGAAATTGATCAACTCGCCGAGTAGGCAGCTTTCTTCTGTAAAGAACCCTATCTTGAGACAGTTTCTACCACAATGCACAAATGAGGGGCATAAATAGTCACCCAAATTTATACTGTATGACAGCGCTGCATTTAAAAGATGCGTCCTGGCTCCTTCAAGTGTCAGGCTGTTGAGGACATTTATCGACTATGGTCAAAATTATTCCTCAACTTCAGATCGTTCACAAAAAATCTGAGGATGGTATCGCTACAAGGATGCCGAATGTCATTTATTGTCTAAAAGCTTGTGAAATGAGAGAAGTGATGGGTTGCGCTTTGGTCGCGTTGTGCGATTTGATTGTCTTGTTTATAGCATACAATAATACAGGTATCCACATGACAATTAACTGATTGTGGTGGTGTCCACCATCTGTGCTACGGAATTAGACGGAAATTCTTCTGGTGTTTGAATTTCGCAGTTAATTGTCTATCCTAATACCGCTATCCCAGCGTGAATACTCGGTCATTCCCTCTAAAATGGGACCAAAGTCCTCAGTGAGTCACATGGATACTGATGTTGGGGAAACCCAGAATGTGTTTAATTTTACCTCGCCAATCTGACTGAACCAAATCCAGGAAATCACCGAAACAGCTTGCTCATCTTTTTAGCTGGACCACTAAAAAAGGATGAATCCTGCTCACATTAAGCAGTGATTTGTTCACACGGTATCCTGAGTTCCAACGCTCTGGCATACGGAAGTCACACTGTACACCAATCATTTTGTTTAAAATTCATCCCCATAAAGATATACAGTGTGGCCTTCAGAATGATGTCGTACCCCTGGCTCATTTGAGCGGGTTAACACCTCTACTCATAGAAGCAACTTAGAATAGTAAACAGGCTTTCACCACGGTAGTGATTGCGTGCATTTCTTTATTGCCCCGAATCTATTGTCTGATCGCTCATTCGTTTGTTAAAATTTAACGTGTGGTGCTACAGCATCTGCAATACAATCAGCAACTGAATCTCTAAAGTGTTCTTCCACCGAGTACATCCTCATGATTTCACTGTACAAACTCTCTGTTGTGTTGATCAAGCGATTGACTTGATTGACGAATATAGTCCTAGGTTAATTGTATCTTCTTGGAAACGACGTGCATAGCACATTTGGATGAGTCGAAAACCCGAGAGCAGGACGTGCTTTAGCGCCTATATCAGCTTGTGGCCTTTTAGCTACAATCACGAAAAGATTTTCCAGAGCTGTGTGCCATGACCAGTCTTGTAATACCTCACAAAAAAAGCACTGCTCGCTAAGATAGATGAAAACTGCAGAGCCCACACTTTTTTAATCATTCAACACATAAATTTGTTACACAATTTTTATGCTGCATATCGTTCCCTGAATCATGGGACAATAATATGATGCCAAAAAATAAGTGACCGTTTTGAAATTCAGCCAACACATCCTCCAGCCCGCATTTACTCCAAAAATGCATTACACTTTAAAGATAGTTCGAGGTGTTCATGAAGTTTTACTGTCTTGGGTCGATGAGGAAGATGGAATAATCTTGGATTGTCATAACGCGAACCAATGTTGGCTAGCTTAGCGCAATGTAGTCAAAACAGTCATCCCAATGTTTGAGCAGAAAGTTTAGTAAAAACAAGGATATTTTGAAAATATCTGTCAGTCAAAAATTAGCCAACCGTGTATTTCATCTCACATAATGGAGTGGTTTATAGCAGAAGCTACCTCTGACTCTAAGATATTAGGTAGACGGTTGTAACATACATGCACCTAACAAATAAGCCGTCAGAATTTGAGCCCATGTTGAATTCCATTTCTAAACTCCCTGTGAAAAACCTGGATTGCTGGTATAATGCATCACAATCTGGGTGTGTATATCAATCAGAATTATGTGCTTTTTATTTCTTTTCAGATCTCATACATGGCCTTTTTGATACTGTTCAGCTACCTACTCTTAGTGGATTTCAAAATCCAGATTTCCGTTGTGGAGTATATTGTGATTGCATGGGTCGTCACCTTGCTCATCGAAGAGATAAAACAGGTGAGTTTCGATTCTTACTCGGTGCGGGACAAACTAGTATGCAACAAGAGCACAGTTTTTTGAAGTCAGTTAAGTTGGACTATTGACCCTCTATGAAACCAACTGAAGTTTAATTTTGGGAAAGCTTGCAGTTTTAAGTTCTACTGCTTCACTACATGCCAGTAACCTGGAATTTTTCCCACTAAGAGTTTCATAATTCTCTCCGTGAGGTTTCGCTACTTAACGGGTTGATTTGTCTGTTCTTAAATGCACTTCGCTGCCACTATATTTTCGTGGCATCACAATAATGATCACGAAATCATGAACATCAATCCAATAGGCTCTCTGCGTAGTCATGTTGCGGTCAATCCACCAACAACATGCGCGTTTTTAAACCATAAGTCTGAATGTTTTTTAGGAGTTTAACGACCGTTTGGATTTAGTAGTCTTATATAAATTCTCCGTTTCACGACAATTGCGACGCGTGTTGGTAACTTCCCCTTAGACTTTAACCTCGTTTAAAATGAGTCAACAAGAGGAAAATTGGCAGTGAATAAACATGAGTTGAACACAATCAGTTAGTCAGTGACTTGTGAAGGTGTGATTTCACTCAACGATATTTTTGCCAGCCTACACCCGGAACATGCTTAGCTGCTTTCCATGAACCTCGTCGACAGGAATCTGACATTTCAACTTCTTTAGCGTATGAGGTTCTACTACTATGAACGTAGTTCCATAAAAATGAGACCGATTGTTCATTAGCTATTTTGTATAAGATATTTCTGTTCACCTAACAACGTTTAAGTAAAAGGCCAACGTTTTTCGAAGATATGAACAAAGGCCTAAATAATGAATGTTGTGGGTATTGGCTGGATTTGTGGAGTTTGTGGTTATATCACTCCCGTTCAAACGATTCTTTTCCTGTCCTGACATGCTTTCTAGTTCCGTGGTTTTCAGATGTCCTGACAGGCAGGTCAGACGATCGATACAACAATTGCTGCATGATATCCCCCGAGTCTGTTGGCAATGTCAACTTGACCTGTGGTAGGCTTTTAAGCCTAATTATCAACATCTTGATGGATATTGATTGATTTGTACACTGGATCGCCATTAGACTAGTCGGGCGAACCAATAGCACCGCTGGCTCAAATGCTTGTTCAGGCGCATCCAGCTCGCCCTAGCGGAGTATTGAAAACACTCTCACCGCGCACGCCAGAGAACGTGGGTACAAACCCCAACAAGCCTAGGATATACACTGCTGGTAAGGTGTAATAAGGGCTAAACTCGAGTCTAGTTCTTCCTCACTTTGTTACGGAATCACCGAAATAATTCTGTCAGGATAAGTAGAGGATTTTTCAAACGAGACACTAACTGTAATTGAAAACATACTCCTCACGAAAATATCTATGAAAATTCTGTATAGAAAATGGCTGGTTCTGTTCCACCAGAGTGAACGAAAGGACCTTCTTGGTAATTCATCTTTAAACAGGTTGTCTTCGGTAGGATCCAGTCTATTACAGTCAATCTGAGTCACACATACTATATATATATACTATATATACTATATATACTGCATATACTATATACTATATATAATATATATACACATACCGCCCACTTGCAGATAACCAGTACTGGTAGTGTGACCCAGCAGCTCTAACATACCGAATTATTTTGGGATTGCGTTACGGCAAACGATGACTCGACTTGGCATCTCTGGCGGTGTGTAAGACTTTACTACTATATATTATAACGGTGTGAGAAAGGCCAGTAACTGGAGTTCCCTACACATTCCCGCCATCCATTTTTCGAAGGAAAGTTAATGGTATGCTGAGAGATACTGGCTAGACAAAACCGTTACAAATTACTATATGTGGTTTTATTGAAATTGGGAATTTTGCGGTCTAAGATTGCAACATAGTCCGGTGGAGGTTTCCATTGCCCGAAATCTAATGCCGTGACCATGAGTTTCTGATGACTTTAGGGAGTGAGTGGCTCAGCTACAAAAACCACCACTAATTTACTCATTGATATTCCTACGCCACCAGAATTATGCTTGAACATTACCTCCTTAGCCTTTATAGGGTCAGAAGTGGACAATTGACTTATGCAACTATTTATGCGGTTAAGAGAAAATCAAACTTCCTGCGGTTGGGTGGGGTCTAAGGGGTACACTTCGAGCATCAATCACCACTGACCTCAAGCCGCCTCTTAAACGAAACCTCGTCAATCCTTTGGTTTATCCTGAGTTGAGTGTAAATACACGTAATACATCAGTTTTGGAGAATGAGCCAAATATTTTGATACACTTAGACTATACGGGATGACGTAGACTATACGGGATCTTCTTATACTGCATCTTCGTTTAAAGTGTGCGAAAGTACTCATTCATTTTGAAAGCAACAGGGTCAAAGATACTAATCGGCTTTTGGCGGGGCTTTTCTGGTCTCACAACGGCGTACATCTTACTGGTCATTTTTATGCCTCACTGTAACTCTCTCATATGTGGTAAATTACTGACTGTAATCCTAGTAGTATTTTGTCCGTACTTTAATACCACTGCACGTGTTTTTCTCCCGCAGATCGCATGGGTAAGTAATCTTTCGCTAACCGACAATATATTTTATTGCATACTCCACATAAGCCGTTCGCGAATGTGCAATCAGTCAATTTCGGTTAACAGACGAATGACATGTTCTATTCTGCGACATCTGGTTTTTAACTCAATGTTTCAAAAACCGGTTTCAAAAACGGCCAGAAATCTAATTAGTGTTATCCTTTATTTCCCGTAAGAGCCTAACTAGCACAAGTGTGATAGGCAAGGTGAAAAACGGTTTACTACGTGCAGGTCCATCCGAGCAAATAGATGTAAAGTTGTTTCTGAGATGTAGAACGGCCACTGCAACACCCGAAACTCGGTAAAAAAAAATAAGTTCAATAAAGAGGATAACGTCCAAAATACAGCGGGTTAACAAAAACTTCATGATAACATTGACATTCTTCCTTAAAGAAATTGAAGAATGCGCACAACGTTTCCTACCTATTTAATATTTTGAGCCTGCTTTACTGTAGCATACAAGACGCGTTCTATTTACAGGATGAAATAAGCCTAAAAAAAGTATAAAGACGCATTGCAATGGTTTTCAAGTTACCAGTGTCTTCAAAACCAAAGTTAATTGATGTCTTTGCATTAACAAAAGTCACTGACCGACTCCGTCGACCTTCAGTCTGGTCCCTGGAACCATCTGCCAATCGGGCCAACAAAGTTTTCATCAATTTTAATCCTGTAGCACTTACACCGATTGTTTGTCTCCCGACGGCCTTAGTGAAATAGGTCAAGTCTTCGTCAACGTGTGAAGTCACCTTTGGTCAAAGTTCATTTTCACTTGTAACGGTATATGTCAGAGGCATAAACAGATAAGATTTGAGTGAGATTGGTCGCCGTTTTCCGAGCTAATTGGTGTCACTATAGTTGAATGACTGCTTTAGAAACCACTTCAGGGACAGATCGGATATTTTCAGTCTTCCATTATTTGATGCTGATTTTGGAGAACAATTGTGGATCACCGATCGAACAAAATATCTCTGAGGTCACCGATATCATTTTTTGTTTTCCTATGTGACTATAATAAAAAAAATGATAATATACAGGGAAATAGATCCTTACTGTTCTGCCAAACAAAAGTAAGTTGCATTCTTCCTGAGATACTCACTACTTATCCGGACAACGCTCGATGACCGGGCGCTTCCAATGTTACTTTGGACCAACAGCTATTGTATATGGAAGTTGTGAACCTTAACATTTTGAGAACCCATAATGGTGATGGGTATGAGAGAACCAGTGGAAAAGGAAGATCATACCTGCGTTCAGTCCGGAAAGGATGTCAACAAAATAGACTGTTGGAATTTTATTGAAATTTCATTGTTAACTAGGTGACTTGATCTCCTTGCCAAGTCTGGCAGTTACCCTAGCAAAAGTTTCGTCACCGATCGAGGACACGTTGACGCAAGCATGGCAACAAAAGCCAGCTGCGAGGCTCGACAGGCAGACTAACAACCATCCAGAACTAGATTGTGTTGCGGCAAAATACTTTTTAATGACATCACGACTGCTCTATTTATTACTCATTTCAAGTGACTGCATATAGGTGTATGTTAGTATAAGTGTGTTCGCAAATTTCCAATCTGCTCTGACCAACTAAAAACACTCTTCTTAATATGCTAACAAGAACCTTCCTTAGTGCATTAGCTACTAGCTACAAATGGATCAACCGTTGCCAGTAAGGTTATGATTTACTTGTTCTCAACTTTGGAAAGTGTCCATTTTCTGACGTCATTTACATACAATATAGAACCAGATCTTCCAGCAGGGCAGAAGTAAATGTTGTTTTTTCCTTTCCGTAGGCTGTCCTCTCAGGCATCAGCTTTCGCACTTATATATCAGATGGCTGGAATAAACTGGACTGTACAGGCTTGGGTCTTTTCATTATCGGGTTTGTCCTGCGGATGATTGTGTTGCTGCGCATTGGACATCGGCAACATTTGGATCCGATGCACGAACGTTTCTACATTGTTACCGACCTATACCTTGACCTTTCACGCATCAGCTTGGCCATCAGCTTGTTTGTGTTTTACATACGATTGATGTACACATTCAGTTTCAACATAGCCCTTGGCCCAAAGCTGATCATGATTGGAAAAATGGTGAGTCCAAACACGTTTTTTGCAATGTCAGAATCATCATGTCATCACGTCTTTAAATCCATAAAAACTACGAAAGGGTATCCCGAATCGATCCTGTATTATGGAGGATACTGATTCTCATGTTCATATTTTGATACAAAATGTGGATATATTGGGTAGCCGGACATCGTAACCAGACTGGCACATGTACTGGAAGAAAGTATCCATCATACCATACTTTTAGTGTCAAGACACAACTTCAGGTTTTCACACAGGTCTGCTTCGTGCAATTAATCGTTTACAGACGGATGCGCCTATTTTTTTAGGTCAATGTACTTCAGACAGCTGCATCTGCATCTCCAACGACATAAGTAACATGGCTAAGGAGATGGTGGCGTCCATTTATGAAATTCATTCATAAACACTGAATTTCCATTGTGAAATTTCTGGGGAATTAATAATGTGTACACTGACCATAAGTGACACATCTTGAATATCAAGGACGGCTTTTCCTGGAGAGCAAAGTCATTAAGCCGAAAGCTAGACCCTGTTCTCCGTACCTTCGTGTGTGCTGTTACTGAAGTACATCGTACGTGGGTTTCCACGTGCACTCTCTCTCCCGCAGTGTCCAAACTGTTCTAACTCCTTTGAACTCAGCTTGGAGACGGCATATCCTTAAGTGCATCTGAAACATGTGAATAAAATAAAATATCCGACCACTCGACGTGCCATCTCAGCAATTGTCAGAAAAATGAAACCCGATTGAAATGTAACTATCAACATGGATAACTTTTTATTTGAGCACGAATGAGTGTCAAATTAAATAGTTTTACACCACATATTCTCAAATGTGACAATTAAGTGTTCTCTGTTCAGTGTTGTCCCCAGTCTGCACCGGTTTTAACACGTGCATCGGTTTGAGGTCGCTACAAGGAACTCGTCGATCAGAAAAGGCTTCATAACATTGTTGAAAGCATAATAGTTCACGAGCGACAGATAGTTGCGATCTGTTCAAACAGCTTTTGCGGTGCACATGCACTGTTCGTTTTAGGGAGATTTGGAACAAATACGACGTGAGTTTACATCAATGCTAATTGAGGTAGACACTATCCACAGTTAACTTTTCCCAAGAAATCTAAGACGGAATCCAGTAGTGGCGACAGAATCTGTCCATTAGTGTTTCACCCGCTGAACACAACGGTTAGTTGAACTGAATTTTGTCCGGTTCCTGTTGGTTGAGTCCACGTGTTCCGCCATTTCACGTTATCGCACTTGATTACCAATACAACTTTTTGTATTTGTTTGTTTGTTTGTGTGTATTTCTTGCCCATTTGCATCTGGATTCATAACTCTTCGATCGTGAACTGCATATTTCCGTGAGATTATATTTCGGGTGGAGAAAATCCGATGATTGGACCCTTCGTCTTTGATTGCGGCACAAATTCTCCATCTCGTCACCCAGACCGACCCAACGATTTACTTTCCAAATCACAGAAACATGAAATAGCGACTTAAACTTGACATTAATCTGAAAATTACCGTGCTTTATTCACGTCGTCAGCTGTCACGAATGAGTGGATTAATCTGCCGTGTTTCGTAGACAGGCTGCTATCCGAGGAGAGATGGCAACAAAGGACGTTCACTTTCTATTTATTTCCTTTTCAGATTGTTTGTTTGATGCTGGTTTACCAGAAAATTGCAAAACTAACGAGGTTTTTGGTTCACTTTTGGTTTTTCAGTTAAAAATTCTAACTCCAGTGGCTGCAGAATTCCAGAAGTAATTTGATGTCATGTTTTGTTACAAATGCAATATTTATGTATTGCCATCTTACTCAGTACGCTCTTGCTCATCACATTTGACTCCAGAGACAAAACAGAAATTTTTTAATCAATAAATAGGCTGGCACATACAGCCATGGCAGTCCACAAACTGAAAACGACAGCGTCAGTACTCTAATTCTGAAGGTGAAGCTCACATGCTGTCAGACACCCAAAGTGGAAGAAGTGTTCTCGGTTAAACTTGACACATGTTTGACACTCGTTATTTGTGGATGCCGTAGGGAAAACTTTGCTTGCTACGTGTTATAGCTGACTCAGTCAGCAATCTGTTACTTCTTACTGATGTTCTCACTCCAGTGCCTTGTGCCGGAAAAATACTCACTGACAAGGAATACGACAGCTTTATAGCGAATAAATGGGTGCGGGTGCGAGTGCGATTGCGAAAGTACAACGGCCTTAAGCTATTTTATTGGAAGGCCACTGTCTGACCTTCGTCCAACGCTGTTTTGCGTTGTCTGGTTTTGATACAAGGGTGTCTCACACTTCATATTGGGGGGGGCGTTGTCTGACCTTGACCCAACGTTGTCTCATGCTCTCTGGCCTTGATTCAGGTGTCTGGTATACATCTGGTGGAGTTAAAGAAATCAGATATCAGGCATTCTGTGGTTACTTTCAGGAAACTGACCTTCCTGATACTGCGTGATCCATCAGATCCACGCTGTTTTGGTCTCAGAAACTCATACGTAATACGCGCTAACGTAAAAACGCAGCTATACTCTCATCTGAGGATTTTCTCTGGCTGATAACCATCTCCAGAAGACTTTTATTCAACACCACAGCAAATAATGTGATCACGGTAGAACGATGAAGAGTTTCATTGCCTGGTAAAAGGATTATTATATCTCAGTGAGTATTGTGCACATTTGTGGAAGAGTTCACTCATATTATCTCTGTGCTTCTTATGAAAAAAAACAAGTGTATAGCATGTCTTGAGTCTCAAACGTAAAATGATTCAGCTTTACAGGACACATTGCTAAAATGTTTCTTCCAAGGCCACCTATTGCTCATTAAATATGAGTGCCAAGCTAGGGATAGGAAACAGCCTCTCAATTCACATCACTCTTGACGCCGCCCTATACTAAATGTTTGAGTTATCCAGGTGGGCGATGAACGCTATTTTCTAACCAGATATACGGTGACCACACTGCTGATTAGATGCTATCGACCGGCGGTAACTGTTTCATTACTTTAATCAACGGTTTTGGGCGTGAATTTTCTGGAATTGAAAAGAGTGAACTATTAGGAATTCCGGGTTAAGTATAGATCAATTTTTGTCGTCTTTCAGCAAAAACGGATGTGAGGTTAGACTCGGACCATTTTGACCGTTCCAATTGGATTCCTCCAGATGCCATAACCGTTTTTGCTAACTATATGAATGGCTTATGGGTATTCAACACATGCTTTCCGAACAATGGCTTTTATCATCCTGAACATCAACTCAGCCTTCAATTTTACAGCAAGTTGCTTTTGTTGTGTAACGTAGAATGCTTAGTTTCAAAGAAATCTCATAATTTTTCATAAAAACTGGGTGCAAAATTAAGTCTACTTATGCTAGTATATTTTCCCTCAGAAAGGAAAAAATTCTCCCATGAAGGCCGGCACTAATTAGGCTCAGACAAGAAAATTACCGAATTCTACCTCCATGTGCTTTGAATGTATATTACTTTCTCTTTTCCAAAATTTGACTACATTTGCACAGAAAAACTTGTGTTGTTCTTTCTAAAAGTAACCACCGATCGATGGGGAGAGCTGCTCTAATATGAAGAAATTAGCTGTCACTAATGTTAGTTGTTGTTTTATTTATTGTATACCTTACATCAAATGTAGATTTGACTCCAAGACGTCGGGTTGCTCTCGAATTGGGACGACATATTTGTCCGAACAACTGTAGCAAATGAGTTGAGATTATTTAAGCAAATTGGTTTACAGTGAGAAATCGTCGTGCTGGTAAGAAAAACACCTACAGAACTCTAAAACCAACATGTAGCCTTTACAAGTAGGGACTGTGTTTTCACACTTCTGCCCATTTCTGTTTCGGATTACAGGTCTCTCATTTTAGATGACTTTTATCACTTGGTAGATGTTTTGACATTCGACGCATAGCTCAAATATATTCGATAGATAAAAGGGCCCATACGGTCATCTGTTAAACAGAACGGCTAAGATTAAAGTCAAAATGTTAGGACTTCTAACGTGATGCCTGAGGGGAAAATTCTTAGCAAAATCGACGTGGGAAGAGCATCCTTCATTACGTGACAATGTCCACAATGGAAATGTTTAATAAAGGAAATAACCCAAAAATTTTCATAGTTGGCTGCTACCCTTGAAATTTCTGGACAACCACTCGGTGGTTTAGTGACCTGCGTAGCACCCCAGAGACAAACTCATAATTCCTTGAGAAATAGCTCATTTGTCACCACAGTTACAAAATTTAATTCATGGCCCATATGTTCTTCAAATATTGAAAATAAACTCTGTCTCGTCGACAAATTTGCTTCTGTCTGTTTTGTCTGTCCCAAGACCTGTGTTTCAACAAAAGCCATCATTTCAGCAATGAATGGCACATGGTCTTCCATACAAAGTTGAATAGCATAAACTGTCTCCTTCTACCATTTCTATCTAAATGGTTTCATTTCTCGCGATGAGACTGGTGTGACTGGCGGTACATGAACACCCGTAGACTTATAAAAACTTTAACTTTCTTCCATATCCTCGAAATTCCAGGTAACGAACGACTTGATTCCGTTTATGATCATCTTAACGGTGATAATGGTCGGATACGCGGTTGCTGCACAATCGATTGCCTATCCGAATGGATTGTTTACCAAGGAAAATATGACACTAGGTGAGTTAAACTGGTCACTCACTGCTTGTGGGACAGTAGGGGGCAGTCAGAAAATTGTAGAGGCTTTGGAATATTTACCTTGATCGAATAGTGGGAATATGCCACATGCTCACACCCTTCTTGCAAGAACGCATCCAAGGACACGGAAGACCTTGCAATTAACGATTTCACGTGAATACTCATCAGGAACACTGCAGTTTTCCATCAACATGCACTCACACGAAGCTCTTCTTCAGACACCCTGACGAAATATTTAGCCGACTAAAAATTATCATTTACTTTGTAGCGTCTGCGTGGTTTTCACACTTGTTCCTATATTTTGCCCAAATATGATGAGTAGTTCGCATGAATTCGAACCAAAACTATTTTGTGTTGTGTACGCACGGTGGGAGGTTTGGATAGTGGCTCATGAAGAGATATAGTGTGGAATTGTTACATATCACGGTTTTGCAAGGTGCTACTACCTTGCTAACCCGCAAGATCACTGCTAACTGGAGAAACCAATGTTCCTCCACAATGTTTGTCCGAATGATCCAAATATTTCAGCACGAAGCACCACCGCTTCAACTATTATGCCATCGCTGCTAAACTATATCATAAATATGAATTTCGTGACTTTTCACTAATTCCCGAATTTCACTTGATTACAGGATGTGACGTCAAGCAGATGAACTTTAGCGACATCATTTTTGCCATGTACACGACTGCATATTTCCAAATGTTCGGTGATTTCAGTTTGGACGCACTTCAGGGAGAAGGTGAGTCAAACCTCTGTGTCAGAATTTACAAAAAAATCAGACACCGATTCATCTTGAAATGTTTCCATTGTTCATGCTCATGTGGTTTTCCTTATTCGTATGTGTTGCAGAAATGAGTCTTTTGCACCGAATGGGCATCAGTCGTGCTTTGAGCTTGCACGTATGACCTAAATTTGGCCCGCGTTAACCAAGTTTCAATCGCGCAACAATTTGCTGCGCGTCAGGCCTCATTTGCCTGTTCAGTGTGTAATTTTTCCGCAAAGTGACGTCACTTTATTCCTGCCACGGAAATCAGCCAATCATGACCAGCGCAGTCTATGGAAAACAACCATCATATGGAAGTGATGGGAGAAGCGCGGTTACAAATTTTCGTATTTATATGTCTCACACGACAAAAACCGCTCATTGCAGAGCTCGGTAGTAGCTAACTTAGAGCTTAGTACTAAACGATAAAGCTAATGTCACGGCCTATTGGTGCAAACAGAAGACTTGACGGAACGGAGCTAGTGTTCTTCCGTCCAACTGTTCAAACGCTCCTCCTGTCTACGGCCACGGTTTTCTTGCGTCTGTTTCTAAGATTTGGCACATAGTTGTAATCTGTCATGAACTTTTATCCTCAAGGCTGTTGTCTCAGTTTTTTCGAAGTTTTTTGCCCTCTATTCGACCACCAGATTTAAGTGTGTGAGTGTTCTGCTGAGATAGATGTGTGGAGGTACTGATCAAACTAGCAAATACAATAAGGGTGAATATTGGTTGAAGAACAGAACGAATAACTCCACCTATATTTCTGTTAAAGATTTCGAAAAGTAAGCATTTCGTAATCCTTCAAACTGAAGAAAGCTTGAGTACCTTCAGAAAAAATCCCCGTAAATAACTACTATACTGGTGTATTGCTTGATTAGCCAGTTTCTCATAGTTCGTATACAAATGCGCATTTTGCAAAACCCAGTGCTACCGCTTTTTGCCTACTTGAAATAAAACTATTCTTCTCTTCATCTTACAGCGGCGCAAGATAATCCCAGATGTAGCTTAGCATTCCATCTGAAGTACTATCTGTCTTGTGCTACGAATCTACTTTCTTCTTTAAGAAACTGAAAAATGACCAGTATAAGATACCTACAAAGCAGCGGTTTTAATTCATTTTAAGCTGCATAAGTGTAACAAAAAATTCCAAAATCGTCGCTTGTTTCCAATTATCGCATGAAGAAAAATGAGTTTTAATTTAAGAGGAAGCATGCAAATTTTTAGTCAAAACACTGGGGGCGAAAACGTTGAAGTCCTCGATCGACAGTTTGGAAAGTAATTTCGTTCCGTGGGCATCAAACACGTGAAACCCATGTTTACAAATTAATGGACAGGATAATTTGATTCATTTTATTTATTTATCCTCTTAGCAAGCGCTGCCTGTGGCGTTGCAGTTTTTATTTTGTGCTCAACCTTTTAGAAAGGATTTATTGTTATTCATTCCGGTTCTGTCTGTGCGACAGAGTTCAAAAAATAATTTAGAATACTAACTGTCTTGTGATAACGCATTTTCCGCTTGGGTTTCGTAAGCTTCCGGAGTAATTTGCAAGAGTTTTGGTGTCAACGTTAGTTTTGAAACCGGGTGATATCTCAGCATCAGTTTCTTCAGTTAATCGCATGACAACCATTAGTAAAATAGCCGTAGGACGATTTGCGGAGTTTGATTTCTCATCGACAATTAGACTGCATTCATCGTGAATCTTTCCAGACACAATTAGCAAATTTTCGGTCGGGAACTTAAACCGAAAATTAAATGTACCTAATCAAACAAATGGGATCCCAACTTCTTGGTTTCGTTTAAAGAGGGCGAAGTTTTCACTCGCAATTTTACAATTTCAAGATGAAGTCCCTGTGCTATTTATAGGATTTTACAAGAGACAACACCAGGAGTCGTGCTGTATCAGTGGAAAACCTAATCATGAATGTCAGTCGGTATATTGTATTGGTCATGCTTGCGATCACAATCTCTGATTCTGTGCCATCGTGTTTACTGTGCACTGTATTGGTGTACAATTCACCTGTGCACAAAGTTGGTGTGATAACATACAACTGGACCGTCCACATTCCAAATAACTGGCAAATGTGGAATACTTCAATGAGTCGAAGGTCCTCCTGCCTTATATTTTTCTGTTTTTTCCCGATTAAAGCTGTCCTCACCTAAAGATTATTAGGGCAACCCTGACGGTACCACGAGCGTCAGTTGACGTATTTGGTTATTTTCAATCGCATCTGGCTACCAAGAGAAATTCATGACCGAAGGAAGTTTTTCACATTGTCTTAGCAAGGCTTGACGTTGGTATGCGAATCGAGCTAACAAATGTTGAATTTAGCAAAAACACTGTGAAAAGAAGGACGCCAAGCATGGACTTAAACAAATGCTGATCGTAATGTACTAAGAAGCAGGCTGACAAAGGAATTCTTCCCTACCCAACACTGAACTCCTGCATATTTACATATATTATCAATAGATGCCTCCAACTGCCAGACGAAGAGCCAGAATATAGAGGAATTTCGTGATTTAATGTTTGGGAAAGATTTTTAGTTAATTCAGTCTTACGATATTGGGTCACCAATGTCCAGAGCCGAAGCAATCACTAACTACGGTGTGTTTACACGCAGGATAACAGCCGTAAGTGTTCTTTTAATGCATATTTCTACAATCTTTTGCTTTTAACTCGGCCTGAATCCTAGAATGAGACAAAGCCATCAGAAACTTCAGTCAGCTTACCCGAAAATAAGCAATTAGGCCATTCTCCAAGGTGTTTGGACGTCACCAAACATATAGCTGACTTTGGTACAAGAAGAGTTAATATCTGAGACTCCGGTTGTTCAGCAGAAAAACTACTAGATCCAACCACTTGACAAATGCAAATTCAAAGTTTGCCTAACATTAGAGCCGGCTAGCCCACTGATGTTCGTAAAGAATGAACAGCGCAAGGAATGGGGCAGTGCGTGCAGCATTGTCCTACCTAGTGCGCTGAGTTTGGTCTTGCGCAGCAATATTATGTCTTAGAAGGTAAGCCTGATCAAACCATTTATTTCGTAACAACACATTACAGGCAACAAGTCCGACGTTGCTTCAATACTGCACCAGATCATGAAGTCCGGATTTCAACAAATGTCTGGTGGAACTATGAAAAGGGGCAATTTATTTGGCCTCATCAGGATTACAAAACGGTGAAAAGTTTTATTGAAGAGAATCTTTTGAATTATCCCAACATTGTTGTACTGGGGTAGAACAGGGCGTCAGAAAAGGCCCTCCTACACAGTGGTCTTCTGTTTTTGTAGTTTTCTTCCTTTCAGGCAATTAGTCCCCTGGTTGTCGTTAGGTTTCTCGGTTTTCCATGTAGCTCAGAGTCCCGTGACTGTGTAGTTCTTTTGTCTGTAACGGCTGACAGATGGGGTCAATGTCGATGCGTTCACTGACCGCCTGTTGAGGTTCCCGATGCGGAACTTAGAGTGACGCGTAGGTTAGGCAATCCCTAATATCGAAAGGAAGAATCGGATTCGTAATTCTACGGAACTATTTGCACAAGGGCAAGCAAATGGTGTACAACAAACCTCAATTGTTCACGTTCGTAGCGTTCACAAGTTCACAGGTCTGTCACTGACTGGCACAGTGCAACGTCGCCTGCACACCAAACAACGGCGAGCGGAACGATTGCTCGGTAGCGTGGGTTACGGTCGTCCCTTTCGACGACGGTTTCGTGATTCTCGTTGGACATGCGATCACGCGGAACCCATGAGAAAACAAGACAAGACAGGCTCAGCAAACGGGACGTGAACGCACATGGGTAAGTAGGTTAGCAGCGCACGTTCACACACAGACACACATGCCAATACACAAGTGTCGGAAAGGACGGCCTCTGGGGCAAGGTGAGTGGCGGGTGCGGATAAGCAAAACAACTGGAGATCAAAAGTACATAGGCGGAGTAAGCGAATGAATGGGGGAATTATCATAAGGTCAAGTTAGATTCAACACCGACTTTTGTGTGAAGTAACTCGCCTCGGTATACTCCTGCTTCCGTTTTGTTCTTGCGTGAGCAAGTATTTGGAGGATGCCACCATTGAACTTGTGTCCTCTGTCTTCGTGTATTGAGACAAATGGTATTGGGTCATGTCTTCTACTGGCAAGCCTGTGTTCGTGTATTCTGGTAGCAAGTTTTCTTCCAGTTAGACCAACATAGTGTTTGAATCAACCAATCAAGGGAACAAATCCAGACCTTAAAGCAAGGAGAAAACGATCGAATCACAACTGAACAGTCACATACAGAAATGTCCAATTGAATACGCCCAACGAACCAACCAGACACAAGAGATTGAGACCAACTCACATTCAGAATTGTCCCATCAAACTACGCGGAGATCGCCTTCAGAGCAACCGGCTGCTAGTTAGGAGCTATATAGGCACAGGCAGAAGAGGAGGAATTCACCCACTCAACCCCGCACTGACGATGTCACCTCGACTGGTGATGAAACTTGTGCAATCCAACTGCCAAGCTCGGCGAACAGGACAGGTCAACAACAGCACACCCGAGCTACCTATATTCCACAACATTGCCACTAAGAATTGTGTTTACCTCGAGCGATGATCCTTAGAATCGAATTAATTTTGACTCTGTGTTCAAGATTTAAATGGTGATATTCCTTGTGATGAATTTCGTTTCTGGGGAGGTTGTCTTCCACTTACAGTGTTCCCACGTGGCAGATATATGATGAGGCTTCACTATAACAAATAAAGACTCATCCGCCGACCTGTTCGAACAGCTGAATATTAACACGATTCAAATTCAGTGGCAACGGGAACTGAACAGTAAGCGGGTCATCCTGTGTCCTGTGACCCCACTCTGTTAACCAAAGCTGCGAGACTGACCCACATATGTCCATCTGATGAGTCTCAGTCGAAGCGAAAATCTTCATGTGGCTCAGGTTTGAACAACACCGTTGATATATCAGTCACGGCTCTTTATGGATCTTCAAATCAATATTTATTTGACCAGTAAATGTTAAGCAAATACTTTTTGGGAACCGGAATTTGTTTATTTTTATAAGCATCACGTCCCGTCATTGTCTTTAGGGGTGACGAAATTCCTTAGCCTATCGGAATCACACAAATAAAATGTCACATATACATTCTTGCGATAGGCCAGCGTTCAAGTCCCTGAATGGTTCCTAATGAACCCATGTTTTTGAGAGTTATCCATTCCCACGAACATAGAATTCGGACTTATCATACCTTTAGCTTTAATTTATTTCCAAAACCAATCAAGCCTAAACATACATGCCACTTATTTATTCTTTCCATTTTCAATTCCTCTTAAAACTGTTTCCGTTCAAGACAGCCTTTGTGATTGAAAAGGGGTTCTGCTGATAAGAAAAAGAATTCATCATCCGTTTTTTGCTCGCCCTACGCTCATCTGAGCATACAACATGAAATTCGTGGGTGGAATTACGATTCAGATGGCACCATGAATCAGTTTTCACACGACTAAACGGGACTTGTTTTCGTGTGCTAAGGGCCAAGGTTTCGGGAGCGTGTGTCAACCCATATCAAAAGATGTCAACACAGAAGTGCTCAAACTGGTCTGTTTGATGTTAGATGCCTATGAAACACAGCTGATTATTTAAGTTTCCCATAGTGTGCGAACTTTGAACTTTCCGAAAACCTAACAATGTTCTTGTTGTATCTCTTCACCTGCCCTGACGCTACTGGGTTATAGTCAGAAGACAAGAAGACGACGAGAAGGAACTGTGTATTAACGCAATTACAAACCTCAATATATATGATTCAATTGTCACCGTATTCGATGGTCGATCCACTGTCAACCAACCAGTGTCTCCTGCACGCCCACACCGGTTCTCGGGCGGTTGTTCCTTTGTCTCGGTTGATCATAGATGGCCGTCTGTGCGCTTGTGTACGGGGTGTCTTGGCCATGGAGTGGGTGTGAACTTTCAGTGTCCCTTTTTGACCTTTCTCCGGCACATGATGAAATCGGACGATATTCAGACGCACAGGCGTAATCTCATGGCTCTGTTTCACATACTTGTTCCGCTGCGCAGTAGACTGATGCGCATCCGTATTAGTTCTATATCCGCTGTACTAGATATCTAACCACGTATAAGTCATTTCAAGGTTACTCTTCAATAAAAAATTTTCACCATTTTGAATCGTTTGCTAGGTAGAGCCTTCACCTTAATTAGAACTATTCAGTCCGTTATACACTGGACGATATACTGTCCGTCGTAAGAATAAACGCAACATGTTCTCGTTTCAATTTTACTCCATATTCCTTTTTTGACAAGTTATTGTTTACCAATGAAGAGCTCTAGTGTACTTGTTTCGAGCTTCAAAAAAGTAATCCTTCCTATCGTCGGTGTTCTCACTTTTCATTCATTTAAACAGATCGAACCTGTCAGAATAACATGTGTCCAACGAAAACTTCAAGATGGCTTGTTCCGATCATGCTAGGGTTCTACGTGTTGCTCACCAACATCCTCATGTTCAACTTACTTATTGCTATGTTCTCGTAAGTTATATTTTCCTCCAGTTCGTTCCATATCCACATAGAAGTGTTTTGTCATCGGTCCAGTTTTTCTGCGTGTCCTTGCCTAGATATTCCGTTTGTATCTGATGTTGTTCGGATTCACCCAAACAGTCATTCTTGGGGTGAAGAAACAGGTATGAAAAGCAAGTGATAAGTATCTTCCAAACTCTCGTACCATATGTGCAAAATTCAGAGTATAAGCCAAAACATCGTTTAAATTTACCTTCATGAATATTCACGGTAAATTTACTGCTGAATGCTGTCAAGCTAGCAACATCCCTTCTGACCGCTCTCGAGTAAATTTCAAAGTGTTTTTACAGTAGTTAAGCAGAATATATTGGATTAGTGTGATAGAATGCGCAGTAGATGCGCATCCGTATTAGTTCTATATCCGCTGTACTAGATATCTAACCACGTATAAGTCATTTCAAGGTTACTCTTCAATAAAAAATTTTCACCATTTTGAATCGTTTGCTAGGTAGAGCCTTCACCTTAATTAGAACTATTCAGTCCGTTATACACTGGACGATATACTGTCCGTCGTAAGAATAAACGCAACATGTTCTCGTTTCAATTTTACTCCATATTCCTTTTTTGACAAGTTATTGTTTACCAATGAAGAGCTCTAGTGTACTTGTTTCGAGCTTCAAAAAAGTAATCCTTCCTATCGTCGGTGTTCTCACTTTTCATTCATTTAAACAGATCGAACCTGTCAGAATAACATGTGTCCAACGAAAACTTCAAGATGGCTTGTTCCGATCATGCTAGGGTTCTACGTGTTGCTCACCAACATCCTCATGTTCAACTTACTTATTGCTATGTTCTCGTAAGTTATATTTTCCTCCAGTTCGTTCCATATCCACATAGAAGTGTTTTGTCATCGGTCCAGTTTTTCTGCGTGTCCTTGCCTAGATATTCCGTTTGTATCTGATGTTGTTCGGATTCACCCAAACAGTCATTCTTGGGGTGAAGAAACAGGTATGAAAAGCAAGTGATAAGTATCTTCCAAACTCTCGTACCATATGTGCAAAATTCAGAGTATAAGCCAAAACATCGTTTAAATTTACCTTCATGAATATTCACGGTAAATTTACTGCTGAATGCTGTCAAGCTAGCAACATCCCTTCTGACCGCTCTCGAGTAAATTTCAAAGTGTTTTTACAGTAGTTAAGCAGAATATATTGGATTAGTGTGATAGAACGTTTATCGTCAATAGATCATACAATAGCTTATCGACTACGTTGGTCCAAAAGGCAGTACTGGGAGTGTGATCCTCTTCGTTTCGTTTCAAGTTGCTTGATTAAATGTTTTGTGAGAAGCCTTTTTCCTACGATTATGCTTACTCTACTGTCTGACCGCTACCATGAGCCACAGAGGCTCGGTAGAAAGCCTTTCTTTTAACCTTTAATACCTCATTTTCTCATAAACTAAAAGACATAATCTATAGCATCCGGATATCTCACACTACTCATAGGGTTTCAAGCAACCCTGTGAGTAGTATTTTATGTCTAGAAAGTGTATTGCAATAATTCAAATATCGTACTAAATGAAACAGTAGGTGGTCTGGTGGAGAACCTCCATTCGAAAAAGACCGTTTAAGAGAGACTTTTGACTAACTATATTTGAGTCTCCCATTAGAACCAAACGCGCATGCAAATGGCAGTAGTTAAAAAAAATTTAGGTTAATCTAGGTTACTCAAAGTGGCTCGCATTGTTTCAAAACGAGCTTCCTTATGAAAAGCGATGGACTTTAATTTTAGTGTACAAAAGAAGAAGAAACCGCAAACGCATGGCAATCGAAATATTCATATTTATGGGTATTTGTGTAGGTAGAATTTGTACAATTATAGCTGAGTATCAGGTTAGCCGTCCGTTTTTCGAACGTACGTGATCTCTAACCACCAGTATGAATTGTCTTCAACAAACACTGTTACTATGCCACTCAATATATACACTTATTAATGCCCTAGATTCTGGAGAACAAAGAAAACTGGTGAAGAATGTCTGAAATCGAGATAAGGATCAAACGTACTGACTGGACACCACCCCATGAAAAAGTTTCATTGGGACGCCACCACCGCATTGATGATTGAATTTAGTTTGGAAAATAAAAGCGCGAGATATGAATCACTTACAGAATTACGGGAGAAAGTTATGACCGACTGACAGCTATTTCCGTAGACATCTTCCAGTTGATGGATAATGAGAATTGTCAGGTAATCCTTCGGTTTCAAAGATCCACATTAAATCAGTAGGTAGGTCTTGGGAAAAACAATTTAAAGGATGCAACATTGTTATGGGGGGAATCTAAACGAGATGGAAAGGAGTGTAGTTTATACAAATGCTGTTTAAGAGCGTTTTGCAGCTTCTCCAGAACCACAGCAATTTGCATTTGGCTGAAGGAAAGCATTTCCCAGATCACCCCCCTCAGGACTATGCCCAGCTTCAGTCAATCAATTTGTTTCTAAAATCATCCTACGTCTTTGTACAGTAGATTTCGTCCTGACTCGATGACGTGCTACCACACATCCACCTCGCACAGAGGTCATCTCTCCGATGAGGCTAAATGCTCATTTTTCACTGAAGGATAATGGATTTCATCACTTGATAGATCTTCATTTGGAATTGCGGAAATAGTTAAACACGGAAACGTCTATGAAAATATTAATGGGTTCGTTTTCTGTTCTTCTGGTATTTAAAGACATTTATGTATGTTGGACTCCGAATACATCTGTACTAGTTTAAAGCAAGAAGCAGCTGATTCCACACACGAAAAGTTGGTGTACTCTTGTACACTCTCTTCTGTTACTCTGGTAAACAGAAGGTGAACATTAATCTGCGTTGTGTTACGTTGTTTCATTTTTTCATTCGATAACTGGTCCTTTAGGTAACGCCTGTGTAAGAAAATACACAGCCTGTTCATTTTTTTGTTTTGTAATGTCCTGTATTCCTATGCAGTAAGAGGAAACTCACTAAGGTTGCCTACTCACCAACACATTCAAAAGTATGCGCCCTTCAAGATGCTGGTGTTTGAAATCTCTACGAAGTCATTCATAAGGCGTACCATACAGCAAGGAAGGTAACAGCTGCTTTGCGCGCTAATGCATTCAATTTATAGTTCTTAGCCGTTTAGACGTCGAATGCGTTTTGATTTCTTCATGATCAGGACGACTCATAGATAGGTTATACATGGCTTATAAAGTGTTAAGACGTCAAAGCCCTCAGCTGTTCCAGTGAACGCCTGACAGCACAATTTGACCCTTTTAACTAAAAACGTTGCTCTTAACGTATCGTTCTGTCAATCTACCACTGACGCTGTATTTTGTCTTAAACAGAAAGACTTATGAGGAGATTGAGAGCGCCTCAACGTACTACTGGAACTACCAGCGATACCAGATGATCAACGACTATGTTCACCGATCACCGCTTGTGCCACCCATCATCATATTTTGGCATTTCTATGAAGCATATAAAGCCATTGGTAATCGATGTGCCAGTCTACGGAACCATGAAAACACCAAACACAATCCATTTTGTAAGTTGCTGCATAAAATTATCGTGTGCTAATTTCACCAAAACCAATCATGTCAAATAAACAAAACAAAAGGATAAATTATATGCTTTAAAGACAATTACCTGCGTCAGCGAACAGAACTTTACATGTGTTTATATAAAAAAAGCGGGCACCTTCGTCAAACATGCACGTCTGTCGTGTCCAAAAGCGATGCGCTCTGTATTATCAGTTCAAAAAGTTCTCCAATGCAGCTACAAGTGGACTAACTCAAGTCCAGTTTTTTCCCTCTAACGAGAACACGAGGAGAACTATTCCAACGAAACTGAGTTGGGTTCATGTAATTATCTGAAACCTCACTAGTAGTTAGACGAATGTATAAAACTAAAACGATTTCAATGTTGTCTGCGAATTTGACGGAAACTTTGAATAGCTCAAAACCGGCTTCGGCCTTGGCTTAAAATTGAACCCTAAATCACCATAAAGTTCAGTTCTGTTGGCAGGCGACGCAGCGGAAATTAAGCTAAATTCACCGCCACCAACTTGATTGCTGATCGCAACACGTAGAAACCGTTTTCAGTTAGAAACAAGCTTGACGTAAATTAAGAAAACATATTTACCAGATGAGTCCCGAGAAGCGCAAGAGAGACGGTGGGCTATAGAAAATTTTCACTGCCCTTATGAGTGGAGTCTTATTCAAACTTACAAATTAGGTGACTTTTATGAATAATATTCAGCTGAACAACATTACAAATCATATATGTGCTATGCGAATCAGTGAGAAGGCTAAACATTGGACATTGGGGACAGACGAATAAACTCTGAACTCGAGCAGCAAGCGATCGAACCCCGTTAGATCCAGCTAATCAATTCCACTCCGGTCAGAATACGAAGACGATGACTTCCATAATATCCATTCGGCTTTTGAAAAGAATAATTGTGAATCTGTGGTCCAATATTTATCAACTGTTCCCCGAGGATCTCAAGCATCTAGCTGAAGTCATTTGGTTATGAAACCAGGCGAAGACTTTTCGATGAATATCCTGGCGTACAGTGGGATAAAAAATGTCTCATTGCAGAGGGCGATTTTGGTAGTAAAATGGAGCGATGAGACAAAACTGGAAGTTTAGTTGCCCATGGAATTTTAATGAATAATTCAGCAACAGGTACGATTACCATGAAATAGATCTGCGACTACCGCATATCAGTTGATTTGCTCTGATTAGTTGACCAAATAAGTTTGACCAACAAAAGCTCGCAGAACAAACTCTCACTTGTTAGTGTGTAGGTCCCCAGTTTTGACAAGTGAACTGTGAAGGTTTGCAGAGGATAACTGATAGAACTATCTTGTAGGGGGAATACTGTGTTCTTCTGTGAGATGATCGGATATGTCAATGTATGCCGTCAAACATGTAACAAGTTTTACTTCATTTCTTTGTTCAATAAGTAGAAAAAATAAGTACTGGGAACAACAAGTCTTTAAAGATGAGGCTAAAGACTACCGGGGCGATTGAGACAGTTATGTTAGGTTAACACATGTCGCTGTCAATTCGTTTTCAAACCCACACCATAATGCTCCCATCTATCACATGATCTAAATGAAATGGGTGAATGACAAGGATAGTTGCTACACATGTGGAAGAAGCAGTAGACTTGGGGTGCAGCGATGACCTTTATTTAAATTTAGTCACTTAGCTAAAAATGATCAGACATACCTCGGTAATGAGTGATTTTTTGGACTTACATCATCAGTAGTTGCCCCTGAATGGTGAGAAAGCACTACACAGATGCTTCGTGCTTCGTGGCGTTCAACTTAAACATATCTAAGATCATTCGAACCTGCAGCCGCAATTAGTTGATAAGCATAGTGTGGGACCAGTTGTGATGTGAAGTTCTCTTTAAAATCTCCCTACTAATTGCACAATTAGAAGCAGGCGGGAACTGCAGTTCTACTCCGATGTCATATTCTGCTAAATCGCTCACCCGACTCGGACGACATATTTCGCGCAGGCAACTAACAATGCACTATTTTAGCTTACAACGCATTAAAAATCCAGTTTAAAATGATTCCAGAGCACTGTGCAGTCACTGAATGCACAACAATGATAAAATCACTCAGCAAAGTGCTCAAGTTGTGAGTCAACCTTAACTGTTTGAAACAAGTTTCCTACAATGCCCGTTTAACCTACATAAACTTTTTTGTCCTTCAAGGATCTCTTGACAACTTATTCACAAGAATCCGAGCAGTAATGTGAAGCAAAAAAGAGGAGAAACCGAAACAGCTGATATAGTCTGTTTGGGACAGACCTCTTATTAAGTCAAGCGACTGGCACGGAGGGTTGCAAGTACGCACAAATGCTCGGTTATTATTTGAATCAGCATTTGTGAAGCATGATGAAAACATGCAGAACAGTCCATTTGGCAATAAACAATACAAAACAGTATCTAGTTGAGAAGCAACTGTTACGGAATGGAAATGGTGTTTCGGGACAAAAGCACTTCAGTCGGTTGTCGCAACAATGTTTTTGTACATTGGGCTTGATTTTTTAGCCACATTCCTATTCTCGACATGTGCAGCTTGACTTATACATGTCGGCATTGCAGCCCAGTCAACGTAAAGCCTGCTGCTGAACGCGTAACCAAGGCTAAGATATATAACTTAATAATCGTCTAACCACTGGCACTATCCCCCAAAACGCATGTATGCAGTCAACTGATAGAATGGCTTGATTGTTCGTGTGATACTTTCAGGGGTTAAGTGACTATGATCAGGGCAACCGAAAACTAACTGGCGGCGAATGTTCTCAAAGCCCAAATGGCCATCGACAACTGCATCGAACTGACTGATCGAAATTCTCATATAAATGCCACAGCCTTACAATGTGAAGATAAATAATGCCCTATTTTCTATGTTATGAGAAGCTATGTTTTTCCTATTTAGTGTGCGTGCACGATGGCACTTGGTCATTGTCACGACTAGTGTGATGCTGATGGTCCCCTAATAGCTCATGCCCGAGGAATATCTCGTCTCAGTAATTAGATGTCCTGGTAGTTTAGGCACTTGTTGATTACGTATCCACACCCCATCCGGTAAGCATCCTTCGCGTTTTTTTCGCAATTATTCTGATTGGGTCACACAAATACAGGACGTACTGAGTTCTTGTTTTGTACTTCCTAAGACGATTCAGCAACGTGTACTTGTTCCATATGAAGGACCATCATATAAGAGAGTAAATTGGGATAATGTCGGAAATAATGGGATCCCAAAAGTAAAGAAAGGCCTGGCTTGTCACTACTTAGTTCTCATTCCTTGCATGCACTGCCTACGGGGGAATAAACAACCACATTAGAAAGTTTCGGTTTGCTTCAGCCAAGGAGCATCTATCTGGCTTTCAAAAGAGCAGTGAGATTATATTTGATGAGACGCCCACCTAGATCAGTAGACGTGTGGAACCCAACAATACAGTCCAGCTGATTTCGGATTTTCAGAGTGCCACTCTATTCACAAAGTGTAAGCAAGTTTTCACAACGAATCTACAGAATTCGCTAGCAGCCTGCTTATATGCCAAACCAATAAATGAAATGCTGTTGGTTTAATAGGCGGTTGAAAAGTAACTTGTGCCTTTTCCACGGACGGTTCTAGATCGAGTCATTCCAATAGCAAATAGGGAGCAAAGTTTCCACCTCATAGATTCTTCTCCCGTTTACTGTTCATCCTGTCCGTGTCAAATGGAAGCTTCTCAACCGATAACCAAACGGTTGCAGCATCCGGAAACTTCGTTCCAGCACCCCTGATGGGAATAAGTGAATGGGGAGACGGGGTAAACTATCGGTACGATACATAACACGATTTACGCTATCCCTTATTTCTTCATTTAGTGTGATTACTCCTTCATATATACCTATCGCACATCTGAGTGATATTGCGCAACTCGGAATACGCCAGTGTCACCAAGATGCGATACCGCTCCGATAGAGATTGCCGGTTTTCAGTTAAACATTCGAAATCAGGACAAGTTCTCACCACACAGCAGTTGGAGTTGGAGTTGCATATGAGCATCTGTTCATAAATTTTTCTCTTATCTGGTTGTAGCGTCAGTGTACAGAACAGACCCGGGGGGTTTCTTCCTGTCACAATTTTAATGGTTGCGTTGGACCTTTGCTGATGGCTATTTGGTAACAACTTCAAGAACGCCAGATGGTAGACAGAAGTCAAAGAGTAGTTGGGTGAACAAACAGGTCGACAGTTAACTGTGGAAAATTCGAAAACCACACTGATGGAGGCATGTGGGCTGCAATGATTTACGGACTAAACAAATACTGGTATCGTCTAACCGAACATATCAGAAAATCGGTCTCTTAGTGTCGTTTTACGGAATACCTAAACAACATAACCGTAGCCGCATGAAAAATGAGCGCATAACGCTTCAGACAAATAAGGCGTGCTAAAATTTACTCTCATATAGGTATCTAATTCATCTAATGCTGTTGCAGGACTTCACTAATATCACATTACATAGTGCATAAAATATTGAGATCTCTGAACAATTTCAGTGGGCCCAACAAAGTGTGCATTCCAGTGTCATGTTTCTTCAGCCACGAATAATTGAAAAACATCCTCTAGTATCCAGGTGATCGTTTGGCCCTCACTCAAACAGATCTGCTAAAGACAGTTATGTTGTGATTTGGAATCCCTCGCTCACTGATGGCATGTGGACATACGCCCTGGCACGCCGACGACTGACATGCGTCGGAGAATCCGAGCCACCGGTCCTTGAGCTAAACCTAATGTACGTGCGACTACCAAGAATATTCGCTGCACCCGTTCCAGGAAGCCGTAGTGAAGTACGCTTGCAGGCAGATGAACTGCCCCATCGTTTGACCAATCCGCCTCTGCATGATGAACGTAAGACGAGGCTCATCATACATAGACGGGACATTGTGAGTAGGTCGCAGCAGGCCTTGACAATTCAGCCAGCAACCCTTAGGATGGGTTGGTGGTTGTCATGTTCTGTCTCCTAGCTCCCGTTTGGGAGTGGTATGATACGACGATGAAGCTGTTTCATGCAACGTAAACTGTTCAACCTTGACGTGTATGTAAAAGAAAATGGGTTTCGCCCACATTCATGGAAATACAGTCACCGACCTTCAGGTAGAAAAATGGTCGAACTGAAGCGTCGTGCTTTCTAGAACAGTTTAGGTTTCCTGTTTTTAAAATATGGGCTCAAGCACCACCTAGACAATTGACTGTTTCATCTCACGCCAATGCAGGCCATCTCGTCCTACCGCCTAGCTGTCATTTTATATTTAAGCTCTTGTCAATTCAACGACTCATGTGTCGACCGAAATTCGGATTGTGCTCATCTAGCCAATGTTTCTTAGCCACATGTATGCAAAGTGAAATTAATCGGCAGTCTATAAATGTAACAGTGCTGTCTACGTTTGTGCAAATAAATGCTTTATGCTAATAAGCGCGATAGCTCTCAATCTTTTGCCTTCCTGCAAACAATGCATTGTATTCTTATTAAGAGGTTTCACGGAAGTTCTACGATTGTTAGTCCACGAATGACATGATTTTTAGACCTATCAAAATGTACATTTTAGGTAGTTAAGCCCCTTCCTATCTAGTTGTGATATCCGGTTTGTAGTTGAGGAAACACTGACGCTAGCTGTTTGCTCATTCAAAGAAACAAAAAATAAACACAGTCGTCTCTGGATAACTTGAAGAATTTAAATACTTGTTTTATGCAGCCGGTTAGGCGTCAGAATGTGATTCAGGTTCTGTGGAACTTTGGATTATTTCTTACTCTGCATAATACTTACCAATAAATATTTCTGGAACATTTTCACAGCTTGCCCAATGCTTGTTTTTTATTCTAAAAAATGTTTCAATCTGCTTTCGGCGCCATGACTAGACCCTATGATGAATTTAGCGCATGCGGATTTTTACTGTGTTAATTCTGCCCCATCTAATGCGACAGTCATTAATAGCGAGTTAATGGCGGCACGTACGACAACTGAAAACCGATATGACAGGCAAGTACCACGCTAGACACCTGATATGTCGATCCAGTATCCGTACTGTTTTTGTCGATTTATTGGCCCGGCTGTCAGGAATTTCCAAATACATCCACTTAAAACCCTTTTGACGGTTTTTGGCTTAGTTGTAGATGGTTGCAGGATTTGAATAGGCGGCTCAAAGACACCAAACAAAAACCAGGGTTGGAAAGGTTAAGCAATGCATTTGCTGGACATTTGTCTGACAGTGCAGAGGTGAACCCCCGGAGAACAAAGAACGATATCATAGACGAATAGCTCCTCGACCCCAGCGCAAAAGAGCAGCCCACGTTCATGCCAATATCAATAATCGACACCCTATGTGCATCTTTTGACGAATAGTACATACATGTACCGAACCACACAGCTCTTCTTGAGCTACTCTTGACTGTGTTATAGGTAGAGACCTTCGTGTGTGTTCTAAACGGCAGGCCAACTAATAATGTGACATACCAGTGTAACGGAGTATACTACTGATGAGGCATGCAAGTGACCTATGGTCCGAGCTCCGCCTCGCATCTGATGGAAAGTCAAGGTTATTGCAGCAATTATAGTATCCCTTTCCAGCTTTCGGCTGCTACACTCAACTGCGCACTGATGATGTTTCCTCGACGGGGGACGAAACGTCCGCAAGCCAGTTATCAAGCTTGGCGAATGGATCAGCAGCCATCTGATAAACTACTCGTAAACGCCCCCGAGCTACCAATATTGCGACATATTGACAATAAATGGTTCGGGATAGTGACTCAATGCTGCATCGCGTCGTGAGATGACACTGCATCATTCTAGCTCACGAATAAACTTTATATTGAAGTCACAGATTTTGTCTCTCCGAGAATCGGGTAGTTCGTTCGCAATACAATGCCCGGTTTGATGCCATAAAGCCTACAGTCACAAGTGTCCCAAATTCATATACCCGAGCATCAACTGCGTTTGATTTCAGCCATATGAGAATCCCCTTTTTCACCCGCTCAATAGAGTGAAATGAAAAGTGCACTTTCAGAAATAGTCGATTGGAATTTATTTGCCACATTCCAAGTTGTTAAATCAAGTGGTAGCCCAGATGTTTCGGAAGAGGACGTTTGTAATTGACGCGTCTTCACCGGCATATTTCTCGTTGAGAGAGTTGCGTTCCACAGTGAGTACTCAGTTGCTCAGAAGCAGCAAGAATTCTCCACGCTGAAACATTGCTTCCCTTAATAGCAATGAGATACCAATGAGATAAACCACACGATCGCGCGCCAAGCTAGTGCACAGATTTTCAGCCGGTTTTATAGTGAAAAATTAGACGGGAAGTGTGCTACCAAATCAGGATATGTTTTTCAAACGCTCTGAAAATGAATGTGAATCATCACGTTTGTTTTCGGCCGGTTATGCGGAACGCTGAAAAACACTGGTGGTTACCCGCAGAATTCCACCTGCGCAGGAGGCAGCCGGGCTTTTAGTTGAAAACGGGATAGCCACTCTCCCCGGAAGATAAGTTCAATCACATTCCGTCTGCGGTAACGATCCTAATAAATCAGCCTTTTTACCTTTACTTGCGCCGTTTGCGCAATTATTAAGGCGTTAGTAGCTCAATATTCAAGCATAAAAAATTCCGGCACCTAATCAAAATCGATCATTTCTAGTCCCCACTCAATAAAACGTGACGTAACTCACTGATCACACGGGCAACTTACTCATGCCTGCCACTACTGATGCTGATTACTTATCACTATAGGGAGGTTACTGTGGTTAAGACGTGTCATTAGTTAAGGTGACCAATAGATCAGACTCAAATCTTTTCCACTTTACAACGACAGGTTAAGAGTAACTTTAACAAGGAAGAGGTAGCATCTTTGTCTTCGTGTTTAATAAACACCACTCACACCGCCCAAACAGAAATCTAGTTTGGGAACAAAATGCCGACAGTTAATTGCATGCAGCATTATTGATCCTTTAGACTTTGAAATTCGCGCGGTGTTTCGCGTAATACGTTTCTCGAACTGGTACCATCCTCATCATTTCGTCGCTATCCATGTTCAAGGTGTACGTTTTACGGACTTGAAGAAAGAACGAGAAATGGTGAAATGGGAGCATATGAAAGCGATGGACTATCTGAGAGAACCTTCACAAAAGGGCAGTGGAAAACGTGGGGCGGCTGAGTCTCGAGCTGTGGTCTTCCGTGGTGGTGGTGGAGGCCCAATGCAGGGGCCAGTGATGGATCTAAAAAGTGAAATGTCTAGCGTTACCGAGGTATGTTTGTTTTTGTAACTGTAAATTCCAGCCCAACAAGTTACTGTGAGTTGAATGCTTAGTGATTTCTGACCCATACCTTTATATCAAATATACATATAACCATTGTTTCATTCATACTTAGGGCATAGGAATGGAACTAGAAAAGCGATTCAAAGAGATCGACAGTCAGTTTCAGCGATTTAACGATGTGGATTCTCGCCTGGGTGAGGTCACCCAGATGCTCACGAACCTCAGTGATGTTGTCCGGTCAGTGACTGAAACCCAGCAAAGAGTAAGTAAAGATCTTGTTCCATTCGATTCTGAATGTCATCGGTCTCCTGAGTTAAGTTTTTATACATTCATGTGTCTTTTAAAATGTAAAAAATCACTAAATGCACGCAACCTGAGGAGGATTTTTTAAACATAAATTATTCATGATGTTTCCCTCGTTTTTGTCTGCCATTGATTAGAAAATCAATCTAGATGAACGTGTAAACATTCCAGTCAACAGACGCTCTGTCATATCGATGACAAAATTGTGTTAGCTTGGCCCTGAAGGTAATTGGTAGTTCGTTGAGCATCCTCTAGTGACTGTCATTGCCCTTACTGTTGGAAACTCTATCGGTGCACCAGTTTACTTTAAAACGTCCATATGATTTCAATGTTCGTTTCAGCCGTACCCGAAGGCCTAACTTGGAAGAATCTCATCAGCTTTTGTCTCATAAATGATATGAGTTGCTTTCACTTTGTCCCAGCCCTCGAAAGTTATCCCAGAAATATCCCATTTTCCCTATATAGCACTAAATACTTGTTCAACACTGTTGGAAACAGTCCACAGAGGTTATTCAACTTGTCTTTCTTCAAGGAACTTGATAAACCTTTCTTCCTTTGCCACAGGCTGCTTCGGATTGGCTGTTGATTTTTGATAATGCTGCATACACGTCATCTAGCTTCTTCTAGTATCTCTACTGTAAGTGTTGAGAGTGCGGGATCTACAGCAAAGGATTTGCGGTTTCTAGGTGAAATTCCGACCTCTTTTCAACAGTTGCATCTCATTGTGAGATTAGCTTCCGTTTGATGGGTTGCATACAGGCTTGTTTGAACCTACTATTCCAGGCCAAAATCCTTTGGTTGGAACCCCTCCTGGAACCTTCCATTTTCTGTCAAAATCTGTTTTACTTTATTTTCTGCCTGAGTTTTTACTTTTTAGACTTCATTCTCTTTGTGAACAAAGCTTTGTGGCTGAGCTTTTCGATCACACAGTTGTCTGGTGGTTTTGATAACAATGACTTGAAGAAGATGTCGTTGTGGAGACGCTGTTAGCTGAAAACATGATGGTCAAGTTAATTCGTATATTCCTTTAACAACATAACCCAGAGTTCCGGATCAAACTCGGCTCGGATTTTATTGAGTAAATTGAGCGACATCTGGTGTATACTATGAAAAGTTTAAAGACAAAACACAGACCAGTAGAATAAGAGTTTATGGTTGAGGTGCAAATCCTTTTTAAGAGAGTCTTGAAATTGTAAATTATTTGTTTTAAAGTCCTTAAAAATATTGCCCACAGCAACCGTAACATCAGATCATAACATTGTGTTCCATTACTCTGCACTCTGACTTCAGACCTGTCATGCCTGACTGACACCGTTAGGCTGAGGAACGTCGTGCAAACAAATGTGTACCAATATTTATGTTCTCACCGAATACCGCATCAAGTTGTTTTTAGTGTATTGCTCAGATCGATCAACCACTAATATCCCAATACGTGCCTCACATGGGACTTCCGCTCATTTAGTGTCTCAGTGAAGAGAAACTACGTATAGCAGTCTCATTGCGGTTCACCTTTACTGATGACCAACAGCGAAGACTAAACAGGGCATGTACTTAGGCTAAACGTGTTTCACAAGATAGTCGTTGGCTTGTTCGCTGAGCTGGGCAATTTAATTGCGAACGTTTCGCCACCAATCGAGGTGACACCATCAGTGCGTTATTGGGGAGCGTAGTGGTTCGTAGCGGTGGGTTAGTGGTTGTGCCGTTTTTCATAAGCGCATAGCAAATCACGCCTTCTAAAACAACCGCATTATGATAAGCTGTACTGCAAAATAAGTTGAAATAAACCGAAAAAATGGATTTTCGTTTTCGCTCAACAGCATTTAGTGTTTTGAGCCTCTGCTTGATCGGTGAAAAAAGTATTGAGCTCGTTGTAAACGTAGAGTTTGTGTGGCCTAAAAAAACAGTCGACCGCAGTGATCGTGCTCTCCAGTTAGCCACCATTGAATAAGCCCTCTCGAAGGTAAAATACTTTCCTCTATTTTGGTTTCGGCCATTAAGTAGCCGGTAAAATATCAATCCCAAAACGGGCACGCAACTTGCTGAAATGACTGTTTGGCCATTTTCTATCCGATACTACTTTTTTTCAGAAAACAGATAACACGATTAATGCACATCGTGTCAGTCAACACCGGATCAGCTAATACGCCCCAGTAGTTCGAGCGATGCTTAACCAGATTGGGGGCTGAATCACCACACACTGAAGTGATCAAGTAACTTGAATACATTCCTCTAAATCCCGTACTCTGGGTCTCAAAGGAGTTGGTTTAGTTGGTTAGATAACCAGAGGAGCACTTCAGTGTGTCAGTGCGTTAAATCGCACGATGTTCAATTGCTCATCTATTCAGCCAAGTCTCCTGTCCCACGTTTTTCAATGGAAAGTTGTGGAGGAAGTTGATGTTTTTACTACTCATTTGTGAAATTTATCATGCACATCAGTGGATAATGAGAAGTCAATGCCTATTTTGCGATCAGACACAAAGTTAATTTAGGCGGTCACTAAAAGGAATAAGCTAAAGGATCATCGTTCCGTAGAATTATCTTACTGCTAGCTCATCGCCAATTAAAGCTCAGATGGTTGGAAATCTATTACTGTAGTTCCATAACAGTATACCATTGAAACTAAAATCCCTAGGCTAGCTTATATAACTGCTGAGCAAATTCTTGAATGAAGCTGGTAGACGTAAGTTGCACTGCCATGTCGATATTCGCATCATTATCGATTCCTCCCACAAAAATTTGTTACAGTAGAATCCGTTTTTGGCGTTCTACGATGGATAATCAGGCAGTTTCTATCCTTATGGTAAAGACCATCAAACTGATCTGATAATCCAAACGTGGAAATATATTCAAGTGCTTATGGCCCAGTTTGGTCATAGCAAACGTGGGACACTGAGTGTGCGGCCGATTCACAAACTATATCGAGTGGAGCTGTCCAGTTGTTCTTGTTCTGATGAATTGATTTTACGAAAGCCGTGATGTGAGGAAGTCCAGTCAAAGAGCACAGAGTAAAATGATTGGAAGTGGGGAATAGAATGCGAGTGTGATAGAGACCAAAACAAAGGCCTCATATTGATTGTGGTAGGACCAAGGGGACACTCTGTGTGATGTTTCTTTCAGCAATCATTTTCGGAAGTGGTTAGCTCACTTATCCCGAATTATGACGTCACTCACTTCAAAAAGAATGCAACTCACTAGTAAATTATACAATGACTTTGAAAAGGAGAGTTTTTGGAACTCATGATGCGTAGAGGAAAACTGGATTGTTCAGTAGGCTTGGTAACAATTTTGTGTCAACAATGTTGTATCATAAAATAGGGTACCAACAAGTCTCATTGATTATTTAGCCACGATTGTTCACAACGTGCCTACATAAACATGTTAAGCTCAGTAGACTATCCAACTAAGTTCTGACGGGAAAAACTTCACAGACTAGGCGAAAGTTATCGACAGTTCTTCAAGTCAAGTTCGGATGCAAGGCATCTACTTTGGAACTCTACCGGTGGTTATCTTGTAGGGAAAGCAAATTTTTCGTTAAAATATCCTTCTACGCACTAACTACTCCGAAGTCATGATGTTTTCGGTCAAACAAAGTGCGACCAATTCTGTACGCTAACCAAAATACGAGAGCACTTCGAAAGCGATTCACTTTACATACATACGAAAAGAAAATTTGGCCACCTGAACTCTCATTGATCCTCTGGTGAATTGACCATCAAAAGAACACCAATATTAATGAGCTGAACACCTGGAAATTATCCATGTGGCACACTGACCAACCTAGGTGGCAACTAAGCATTCGACCCGTCCGGTAGATTCGATAGACTTATCATCATTTATCATAATACACCGCCAGGAGTGAACATTTATCCAAGCTATTTATGCGCATTCTCAGCTGGATGTGTAAGCTTTGTTCAGTGGTGATGACAATGGCTGGAATGTCATATCTTGTTCTCTAGTTATTATTGAATATCTATTAAAACTGTGACAGCCGTCGCGGGTGTTGACGTGACATGATATGACTCGACAGTGTATCAGCATGTTCCCATCACTGTCTGATATTTCCACGGTGCGTACAACTTTCAGAGGTAACTAAAACAAAGTGAAACGAAGTTGGCTGCGCAGTACGATCGAACATGTTAGACTCGACAAGCACACAGTCAAACGCTCCCTAGATAGGAAAGTCTGTCTTGCTAGACACCTTCAAAGTGTATATGATCCTGAACACGTTGAACTTGGATGATTCCTTAGTGAAATGTTCTAACGTAACCGGTAAAATAGCAGCAAGTAGCGGCAATTATAGTGAACACAAGGTGACTGGCGTTGAGGCTGCCTTTTGAAGCAAACAAAATGAGTCCTAAATGACATTATTTAAAAACGCGCAATGGATGGCGTGACAAAGTCGAAGTTGGTCCTTAGTAAGTTGATCAGGAACGAGGCATCTGGTTGAAATAACTTCGCACATTCCACTCTCCTTGAGCATATCTACGGGTGAGTGTGTACTTTTTGGCTAATAGTGTATGCACGCATTTTAGCGCAAGATTTACGTGTACATGTGAGCGTGTATATGTTACAAACCATTTCATGCGCGGCCCCTTTTGAAGCCAATCGACATGAGCTGCCTCAGAATACGGTCAGTGGGACCGTGCAACACTAAGAAACCCGCCATCAGCCTAAGGTGCAAATTGAATTCTAATTATTGTGTAAAACGACTTGCAACACGGATTGGCGAAGATCGTCAGGTCTTCATCATATATATATATATANAGATGTTTATTATATATATATATATATATATATATATACTGTGTCTACCATGGGTTGTTCAACAGTATAAATCAAGAGGAGGAACATTTGAAACCAGGTCAAGATGCTGAAATTGTGGTTGTCAACTAAAAACCGATAACCTTCAGCACAACAGCCTTACGCCTGTGAGGTGTGCAAAGTGTGCTTAGGTGTACTTTTTATCATCGAGCATGTGGGAAACAAGTTGTTGCTCCGATTGATGAATTGCATTGCCCTCAACGAAACTTGCTGCCTAAACTGTTGCACAGCAACCGAGCCTCGTTGTCACTAAAATTGAGTTTGTGTGTCATTCTGGCATCTGAAATATTTTGATTAAAGTTGTTTGTTCTATTGAGTCTCTCACCTTCTTTTCATGGTGATTTTCGACCAAGCAGTTGTTCAGGGCCACAAAACCTTGTTCGTCCTCCAGAATCTCAGGTAGAAGAAGGATCTACGCTAAGTTTGTATCTTCTATGTCAATTCTATTAGATGCCCAGCTTATCCAAAATTAGATGCACTTGTCATCCTGCTTGGTTATCCAACAAACAGTCTTATTCCGTCAGTTTTATTCCACCAAAAGTGTTGTAAATGACGTTCTTGTTGGATACAATTTACCGGTGATATTTTATCCACTCCGTCCGATATTTCTAAGTTTGTCCACGTTTGGGATGCGAATAATCATGTGTAATAGTTAAGTTAAGTGGAAGCATTTAGGCTTATTTCCACTTTCGCCCGAGATCTCATCATGTAAGTGGTGCAAATCTGTGCTTGAAAACCCGAAAGCACCAAACAGCTGTTCCATCTTTATTGGGAATCATCAGTAGTGTGAATCCCACGAAAAATCCGGGGAACTCCAAGCCAGACCGCCCGGCCTCGAGTGGCTGATTAGCATTCTGGTTAACTCACACGTACACAGGTTGTGGCGCTACTTATCTTTCAACCATGGAAGCTATATCACATAGTCTTGTATAGAGTGGCTCCTCAACTGACGGGATTTCAAGCGGAAGTTTCACTCATCTTGTGAAATCAGTATTCTTCTGGGTTACTTATAGATTGATGGTAATGTGAGTAGATTTCGTAGTTTCCATTTATCAGAAGGCGGAACGTTCAACCAATGTTTGTTACGTTGTTATTGAAAGCATGGATACTGAAGGTTGAACGATGGGTTTGATGCTGCAGGCCAGCACGGCGACTTTAAGTGCAGTCAAGTCAGTATGATATGTCAGTTTGATAGAACTGAATCTTTCCGCCCATAGCTCCAGGACTGTTATATTCCCTTTTTGGTCAGGAGGTCAACCGAATAAACGCACCTTTTTTGAGCGGATTGACGTTATTTATAGGTAAACGGCTACTGAGGTCCCTCAAAACGTAAGAACTCTCACCTGCATCCGTTTATGGTACAATAAAACCATAGTCTTATCAATTATGAATACCCATCAAACCAATACACCAATAATACTCGTGGGTTGTCGAAAACACCGTTCCAACTTCTCTGTAAACCGTAGTTCAGACATAACCGATTCACTCCGGTCGGCTTCGCAAACTGAGACTTCTCAAACCTTCATGAATAATGCCACTGTGACAGACAAGTGCACTTTCGTGGCTGCATATATTTCAGACATATTGGGAAAATGTTTGCTTACTACTACCTTTCTCTTCTCACTGAACAAGAGGTATTTAACTTCTGTAACCCGATTTCATCTAGAATTAACGTAGATTCTCTCCAGTAACTGATGATGACCCGGTATTTCTTTATGTGACTCTTGCTGGAAAAGCACGTGCTCTTGATGAGTGTAATACCGTTTACCACATTGTCCCCCACTTTTAATAAATCGAGTTCGAATCGTTTCTATGATAATATGAACTACGGTTCGCATTCCCCTAAACCAACGGACAATCACTTCGAATAAGGAGGATTGTATTTGTGCATGTGTGTGTGTGTGTGTGTTTCATTCCACGCAAAGAACAGCCACGTTTTCATGGTCATAAAGTCTGCACTTAATTCGCAAACAACACTTAGCTATTCGTACATAAGCAATGAAGACAGGCTACGATCCCTACTTTGTTACACTTATTCTACACAACAGTTGTATAAGGATTAGCTACTCAATTAGCTGAACCAGTGAGGGCTTCCTGAAGATCATAGGTTCCATGCAACTACCCCGTGAGCAATCTGAACTTTCAACCCCTCGCAAGTTCGGTTGTGGGTACAAACGTTGTTCGGATATGAATGAATAGCATTAGTTCTTTCGTATAGTAAACCCAGTAATTGTGATAATGAAGATTATATCGTGTCTTTAGATCATGAAGCAGATCAGTGAGCTCCCCACATGCCAGTGCAACGAACTAACGGATGAAGTGATACCCATTCCCTCTGTTGAACCTGGAGCGCCTTCGACCGAATCGAGGAAACGTACAAAACTGGAAATCGCTGTTCAGTCGGCACTAGAAGCTGCGAAAGATGTTCTTCGTCCGCCTACCCCTCCCCCTCCTCCTCCTCCACCACCCCCGCCTCCAAGGTAATGCAAGGGTTTTGTGTTAGAAGGAAAGAAGGAGGGAATTACATTTTAAACGCATGCTGAAAAGATTGGTTTACTTAACAGGTTGTCATTTGAAACACTGATTGAAATCACTTTTGAAATCGCCTTGATTTTGTACCCACCAGTGATTTTAAGCCTAGAGTCCCGGAAAAATCGTCTATTTTCCATAGGACACAGACAGTCACGCTTCGACGCTGCACATGTAATTCTGTGAGCCTATGCATTACTTTTCTTGTGATCGATGTATCTAGTTCCAGAGACACAATTCTTAGTACCCACGTGGGCTAAGGTTAATTCAACAAAACTATTCTGGATTCTAAACAGAGTTTCGCTACTCCAACACAGGTTTGCATCCCTGTGCTATCTCGTTTCGAAACCTGTGTAACCAAGAGTGAAGCTGGTTTGCTTTGGCTTGCACAAAGGAGTTGACTGTGGTGCTGGTCAGACTTCACCTGCGGAGCTGTATCTGGATGGAAGTAAGGCTCAGCCTGACAAACCGAGCAACACAATCTGAGATAATCCAGTGAACTTAAACATAAATCTGGCTGGCCCGGTGATAAATCAGTAGACGTTTCAAGACACTTACAAAGGGTGGATAGAGAATGACGGGTCACGTGGAGAAGGGCACGCGTAAATACGAACGAGAACGTGAGCGAGAAAGGACCAAGTGTAACAATAAAAATCTATCATCCTCAAAAATGTCGTGAGGTGTCGGCATGTTCGGCAACTATCCTATTCTGCCTCTACCAGTTATCTGAATGCAAAAGTTCTTTTTAACAAAATAGCTGACGGTGTGGCCCGCCGAACTTTATTGTCATATATAATGTATTGCGCAAATGTATTACGCACTACTTATGTTCTCTTCCCAAAGCAGAAAAGCTGTAGCGTACTCTCCTCTAACTAGAAAGAGTGGCTTGAAAACTCCATTTTTTTTATCTTATTGCAGAGAGTCCCCGCCCGCCGAACTGTCATATATAATGTATTGCGCAAATGTATTACGCACTACTTATGTTCTCTTCCCAAAGCAGAAAAGCTGTAGCGTACTCTACTCTAACTAGAAAGAGTGGCTTGAAAACTCCATTTTTTTATCTTAT